AGGCTAGCAATCTACCATTTGGGCCATAGTGCCACTACTGGCCTTTTCTGTGTATGGGGTACTGAGGAATCGAACCCAGGGCTTCATGCATTCTAGGCAAGCACTCTACCACATTTCCAGCCTGGAGCTCACCTACTTACTTATGACCCTGAGTACTGCAGAGGGGGATAGGACTGGCTGCAGTTGAGATGTTTCTTTGCATATAAGATGGAGACTCCAGAGACCAGGCCTCACGCCCATAATCCTAGCTACACTCAGAGGCTGAGATCTAAGGATCACAGTTTGAAGCCAACCCAGGCAGAAAAGTCTATGAGATGTTTATCTCCAATTAATTACAAAAAAAGCCGAAGTGAGCACCCAGGCTGAGTTCAAGCACCAGAATCAGCACAAAAAATAAAAATAAAATTGGATCATAATCTTCCCTCCCCTCAGCTGGGCAATCACATTCAGAAGTTGCTCCTTGTCCACATTTTTGGAAAATTTCCATTTCTTGTCTAAATAGGAAACAAATGTTAGCTTCACACTCATATTCTGAATTCCCAAGTGTGGCATCCTATGCCAGCCAAAGTTCAGAGATTGAAGGCGAGGCCAGCAGCACTTGCAAAATGGCATCCTCCCCTACACCTCTCCACACAGCAGCCAGGGTTTTCTGTTTTCTATTTCCTTCCTTCCTTCATTGGTCTTAGGGGCCTGAACTCAAGACCTGGACACTACCAGTTTGAGTCAAAGTACCACTTCCATTTTCCTCGTGATTAATTAGCAACAAGAGTCTCAGACTTTCCTGCCCAGGCTGGAGTTTTGTTTTGCCAGTCCTGGGGCCTGAACTCAGGGCCTGAGCACTGTCCCTCAGCTTCTTTTGCTCAAGGATAGCACTCTACCACTTAAGCCACAGCTCCACTTCCAACTTTTTCTGTGTATGTGGTACTGAAGAATTGAACCCAGGGCTTCATGCATGCTAGGCAAGCACTCTACCACTAAGCCACCTTCCCAGTGCCCCCTAGGCTGGCTTTGAACCATGATCCTCAGATCTCAGCCTCCTGAGTAGCTAGGATTAGAGGTGTGAGTGCCTGGCCAACCAGGGTTCTTTCTAGAAGGACCAGCAGTTAGGGATGTTGCTCAGTAGCATAGAATTGTCTAGAAAATGCCAGCCACCCTGCTTCCTCCCTGGAACCCTTAAGTCATCCCTACTTGCCTCCCTATAAAGGCCCGACATCGGCCAGGTGCCGGTGGCTCACGCCTGTAATCCTAGCTACTCAGAAAGCTGAGATCTGAGGATTGCGGTTCAAAGCCAGCCCGGGCAGGAAAGATTGTGAGACTCCTATCTCCAATAAACCACTAGAAAACCAGAAGTGGCCCTGTAGCTAAAGTGGTAGAGCACTCACCTTGAGCTGAAGAGCTCAAGGCCCAGAGTTCAAGCCCCATGACCAAAAAAAAAAAAAAAAAGGCCCTTCATCTCATGTCTCTGGGGCTCTATGAAACCACCTTTCTTGGAAGGAGTGACACTGATCAAGATGCATTGTACAGGAGCTGGGAAGGTGGCTCAGTGGTAGAGTGCTTGCCTTGCATGCATGAGGCCCTGTCGATTCCTCAGCACCACATAAGCAAAAAGAAAAAAGCTGGAAGTGGCGCTGTGGCTCAAGTGGTAGAGCGCTAGTCTTGAGCTGAAGAGCTGAGGGACAGCGCCCAGGCCCAGAGTTCAGGCCCCACGACCGGGCCCAAAGAAAAAAAAAAAAAAAGATGCATTGTACAGACTCATGCCTGTACCCCTAGCTACTCAGGTGGCTGAGTTAAATTGTGGTCAATTAGAAGTCAGCCCAGGTAGGAAGTTTATAAGAGCCTACCTCCAATTACCACCTGAAAGCTAGAAGTAGAGAGCTATGACTAAAGTGGTAGAGCACCGGCCTTAAGTGAAAATGCTAAAGAACAGTACTCAGGCCCTGGGTTCAAGTCCCTATACACAGACACAGACACATAGACACACAGACACACAGATACACATACATACACATACACACACACACACACACAAAACTAAGACAAGTGAAAATTTGAACACACCATTTAACAGGACTAAAGAATCATTCCAAGCCAGGTGCTAGTGGCTCACACTCTAATACTAGCTACTCAGGACACAGAGTTCTGAGGATCATGGTTCAAAGCCAATCTGGGCAGCAAAGTTCATGAGACTCATCTCCAATTAACCACCAGAAAACCTGAAGGGGAGCAGTAGCTCAAAGTAGTAGAGTGCTAACTTTAAGCAAAAAGAGCTCAGAGACAGCGCCCAGGCCCTGAGTTCAAGCCCCACAACCACCATCACCAACAACAAAAAAGAATCGTCCCATGCTTTGGGTGTGTTCTGAGTGTATATATCACTCCAAAACACAGAAAAACTTGCAGGATGCTAGTATTTTGCTCAAAACTTGTAGCAGGGGCAAGAAGGAGAGAACATGAGAGTCATCATTCTGTCTGCCTACTGTTCTTCATAACAAAGCTTTAAATTCTCCATAGCAAAGCTTTAAAAATAGCAGAGCAGCAACCTTTGCCAGTAACGTCATCTTGTTCCAGCTGCCACATCATTTTAACCCAAGAAAGGCTGGAAGTCTGTGATCTCACCTCCCACTGGCTCAGCCAGTGGAGGGCCTGTGCCTCAACAGAGACTACTGGTGACAGTGAGAAAGTAGAGCTCGCAGTGCTCTTTTGGTGCTCCTAAGCTCTGGCCTGGGAGGCTGCAGTCTCTGGCCCTGGCCTCTCCCATCTCTGAGACCCACCTATCTTGCTGGGAGTCTACAGGGCTGACAACCTACCTAGTGCAGACAAGGGTTTCTGGGGCCAGCAGGAAGAAGCCTCTACACCTGCCCCTAAGGCCCTAGTTTCCTGTGTTCTCTCTGGAAATCTCTCAGGGGCAGGTTAGGGGGGTATATGCCAAACCTCCTCCATTACTCACACACCTGCCCACCTGAGTCCATGCTGAGGCCCCACTGCACACAGAGTGGCCAGGATCCCCGAGGATCCTGCCAGATCAGGCCAGGCCAGGCTGCCAGGGGTATGTCCCCTCCTCCAAGGACAACGCCTGGGTGCTCCCACAAATAGAAGGCCGAAAGCCCCCAAATCCTAAATCAGTGACTAAGCACTTATTGAATCCCTGATATGTGCCGCTTCCTAGTCCCTAAAATACATGCGATAACACCAGGGCCAGTAAGGCTCCTTTACCAAAGGCCAGGACCAGAATGTAACAGGACCCACCAAGGTAAGGGTTCAAGCTCCAGGCCCTCCTCCTCTACTTCCTCCACAGCTCCTGAAGACCAGCAGAGATGCAACAGGGGCAAGAGGGGCGGAGGAAGCAGGAACCAGTGGGAGCCAGGCCGTTCTGCCAGAGCAGCCAGTCAACAGAGAGAGAGGTGTGTGCACCCTCAGCATCCAGAAACAATGGGTGGCACGAATCTGACGCAATTCTGTGAGCCCTGCTGGCAGGCGGGAGGGGGCATCTCCACAGACACGCCTGAGGCACGAAGGCTTCCAGTCAAAGAGCACAAGGACAAGCCCAGCAGGCCCCAGTCACAGCTCCTGGCCAGCCCCACAGAACTTGCTCTTTTCCCACTCCCAAGGCCACTGGGCAAAACCCCAGGGACACAGGACTCCCTGTGTGGCCCTCCATGGGGCCACCCAAGCCGAATGCCCAGGACCCATTTATGGTTTAACCAGAGCAGAAATGGAAGAAGCTCCCCAGGGGAACCCAGCAGGAGTTTCTGGAAGCGAGGTGCTGGAAGTGCCCAGAAAATTCTGAGTCTCTTCAGCCTTGAAGGATCAGTGCCTGCAATCCAGTTCTCTGCATCCTTTCCAGTCCAACCCTAAGGGGTCCTGGGCACTGCACGAGGCCAAGCCCTACTCAGCCGCGATACCTGAAACCCACTGCGTCACAAAAAAACGACTTCTTCACCAGGAAGGCTGGGGTTCCCCTGCACCTACCCACCCCCAAAGAAAGGCTGCTCCCAACACAGACCCCGAGGCTGGGTTCTCAGGATAACGCTGCCACGGAGCACCTGGGGCCAGCCCAGGCCCCGGCCCACCTGTGGGTCCGCTCCCCCCACCCCCTCCACTGCGGGGCCCGGCCCGGCCCCTTCCCGCCCTCTTCCCCGCCCCGACCTACGCGGGGCCGATTCTCACACACCCATCGAACCTTACCGAGGGCCTAGCGTCCACCACAGACCCGCCCAACCCCGGGCCGGAACCCGACCAGCCTCCCGCCGACGAGGCTCCAACTAGCGCGTCTGTCCTCCCCGCGCCCCCCGCGCGTCCCCTCGGCGGGCGGCCGCAGGGCCCCGCGGGGAGGGGCGACGTTTTCTCCTCAGAAACCGGGAGCCCCGGCTGGCCCCGGGGCCAGGTTTTCCTCATTTAGCCGGGCGGGCGTCCCAGCTGGAGCTTCGCCCTGGGAGCGGCCAGGCCCGCGGCGTCCGGCGGCCCGGGGCCGGGGCCGCGCCCGCCGCCCGGCCCGTCCCGCCGCCCGCCCCGCCGCCCCGCCGCCCGGCCCGCCGCCCCGCCGCCCGCCGCCCGTCCCGCCGCCCGCCGCCCGCCGCCCGTCCCGCCGCCCGGCCCGCCGCCCCGCCGCCCGGCCCGCCGCCCCGCCGCCCGGCCCGCCGCCCCGCCGCCCGGCCCGCCGCCCGCCGCCCGGCCCGCCGCCCGCCCCGCCGCCCGGCCCGTCCCGCCGCCCGGCCCGCCGCCCCGCCGCCCGGCCCGCCGCCCCGCCGCCCGGCCCGCCGCCCCGCCGCCCGGCCCGCCGCCCGGCCCGCCGCCCCGCCGCCCGGCCCGCCCCGCCGCCCGCCGCCCCGCCGCCCCGCCGCCCGGCCCGCCGCCCCGCCGCCCGCCCCGCCGCCCCGCCGCCCGGCCCGCCGCCCGGCCCGCCCCGCCGCCCGCCCCGCCGCCCCGCCGCCCGTCCCGCCGCCCGCCGCCCGGCCCGCCGCCCGGCCCGCCGCCCCGCCGCCCGCCGCCGCGCGGCTACTCACAGCGCCGTGGCCGCCGCGGGGATGCGCAGCGCGGGGCCGAGCGTCCGCAGCCCGCGGCCCGAGCAGTTGACGCGGCAGGCGGCGCCGGGCCCCGGGTCGCAGAGACAGGGCCCCTCGCAGGGCCCGCAGCCGTGCCCGGAGCCCCCCGCCAGAGCCCCGAGCCACAGGCCCAGGCCCAGGGCCAGCGCCAGGCGGGCGGGCGCGCCGGGCGGCATCGTCAGCGCCACGCGCGCATGGCCTCGGCGGCCCGAGGCCCGCCCGCGCGCCCGCGCCTCAGGAGGGGCCTGCGGAAGGCATGGCGCCGCACCGGGCTGGATCCGCCGGCGGCCCGGGGCCTGTCCGTGGCGCGACACCCGCTCAGCGCTCCGCGGTCAGGCCGCCCCCGAGGTCCTCGGCCGCCCGCTAGCGCGCTCGCGCTGCACTGCGGCGCCGCCGCGGGCTCCGCCTCCTCGCGGTCGGGGGGCGGGGTCCACCGGGGCGCCCCGCCCCGCGACGCCGTGCCGGCGGTGGGCGTGGCCAGAAGGAGGCGCAACCTCCTCTGCCGCAGCATCTGCCGACCTCGCAGACTCCGCCCTCAGCTCTGCAGTGCCGGGGGCGGGGCCGGAGGGAGGAGCAGGCCCCGCCCTCTTGCCGCAGCCTCGGTGCGTGCGCCTCGGGAGGAGGCGGGACCGCTCCCCGCGCAGCGTTGGCAGGGGCGGGGCGTCCTGAGGCTCCGCCCTCCTCGCTGCAGGCAGGCCCCACCCCCTGGAGATGCAGGAAGGCGGGGCAACGCTCTGGCGCTGCGCAAGGGCGGTGCGAGGCCGGCGGAAGTCGGCGGCCGCGCCCCGCCTTCCGGGGTCTGGTCCTCAGCCCCGGGGAGGACTCGGGCGTCCCCGCCCGTGTCTGGGCCGTCCGCCTCCGCCACCCCGCCCTCCCGACGTTACCGACGCCGGCCCCGCAGCCCCGGCCTTCCTCAAGCTCAGAACTGCCCACACGCAGTGGGGTGCAAGGAAAACAGCCCAAGGGGCCGGGAAGGGGCCTCCGTGGTGGGGCGCTGGCCTGGCAGGCATGAGGCCCTGGGCTCGAGTCCTCAGCGCCACAGACACGGAAAAGGCCGGAAGCGGCGCTGTGGCCCAGTGGGAGCGCCTGCCTTGAGCGCCGAGAGGCCCAGGGGCGGCGCCCGGGCTCTGAGTTCCAGCCCCGTGTGAAGAGCCGGCCGCAGGGACGGATCCCGCGAGCGGGGCGCCCGCGCGCCCGCGGAGCGCGCCTCTGGGCCTGTGCACGGCGCGGGCGGCGGCGCGGGCGGCACCGCCCCCCGGAGGCCCCGCGGGCGCCTCTCACCCGGCTCCCGCAGCCTGGCCCCCAAGGCCGCCCCCCATCCCTGAGACCCCCCCAGCCGCCCTGAAGTTAGTAAACTCGCCTGAACGAAGGAACTTGGGACTGTCTGCAGATGGTCTGGGGCCGGGGCTGGGCATCTTGACACACGCAGCCCGCAGAAAACGACTGGAGCCGTAGATACACCCCTTCCCCTAACTGGTGTACAAAGGGTCACAATGTCAAAATGGATCCAATTGTATACTCTACTTTTTTTTTTCTCAGCACTGAGGTTTGAACTCAGAGCTTTGCACTCTTCTCCTCCCCGCCCCCCCCAAGTCATGGGGCTTGAACTCTGGGCCTGGGCGCTTTCCCTCAGCTCTTCAGCTCAAGGTGAGCACTCTACCGCTTGAGCCACAGCGCCACTTCTGGTTTTCTGGTGGTTTATTGGAGATAAGAGTCTCATGGACTTTCCTGCCCGGGCTGGCTTTGAACCTCAATCCTCAGATCTCAGCCTCCTGAGTAGCTAGGATTACAGGTGTGAGCCACCGGTGCCCGGCATATTTTATTTTATTTTTTGTCTGGTATGGGGCTTGATCTCAGGACCTGGGCACTATCCCTGAGCTTTTTTACTCAAGACTAGCACTCTACCACTTTAAGCCACAGCTCTACTTCTGGTTTTCTGGTAGTTAATTGGAGATAAGAGTTTCACACTTTCCTGCCCAGGCTGGCTTCAAACCACCATCCTCAGATCTCAGCCTCTTGAGTAGCTAGGATTCCAGGTGTAAGCTGCCAACACTTGGCCCAATTTATTTGGTACTGAGGAATTGAACCCAGGGCTTCATGCATGCTAGGCAAACACTCTACCACCAAGCATCTTCCCAGCCCAAGGCCACAGCTACTTTTGAAGGTAGAGACAGGAACAATACAGATTGAGGCCAACTTGAGATATGTAGTAAGATGCTGTCTCAAACACACACACACACACACACATACACACATCTGGGCTCCTGTCTTTACCTTGAGTTCTTGACATGCCACCAAAATCCTAGATTCTCAGGCTGGTGTAGCTCAGTAGAACATTGGAACATTTGCCTGATATGCTCAACACCCTCAGTTTGATCCCTAAGAAGAAGAAACAATGCAAGGGTAGCACTTGGCTCAGTCTGGGTAGTCAGTGATTGATGACTTCAGGAGCTGTGTGGTTGTTTCTGGGGTGTGAATAATCACTTCATGGACCGAGCCTGGCATGTCTGTTAAAGGCTCCCGGGGAGCCTGGAGCCATTTGCCCTACTCAGCGCTCTGTGCCGGCCACAGGGGCTTTGGCTAGAGGCCGGCTGCTGGCCCTGGGGAGGGCTGGCCTCTGATGGTGTGAGTGGACAGACTGGCAGCCACAACCTGCAGGCTGACCCTCCTTTAGGATGGGTGTGTGCACGGCCGCCCACGCAGGCCAGTACCCAGCTGCTGTGGCCACCCCTTCAGCCTTCTAGGGAGGGACTTCTGCTCCACATGGAAGCTCCCCTCCCTTTCTGGGCAGGGATGGATGGCAACCGGGTACCACTAGTTATCAAGGTCACTGACCTGAGTGGGCTTCTGGGGGTATCCTGCCAGAGTCAGAACACTTAAGAGCCCCCCTACCCCCCACATACCTGGATACCAGAGTGGCCCCTGCCTACCTGGACACTAGGGCCAGCCAGCACACCTGTGTGATGTCCATGGCTTCTGGTCTCTGAGGTGACTCACTTCCTCCTCCCCCCTTCCTTCCTCTCACGGAAGTTGAATTCAGCGCTGCTGCAGTTCCTCTGACAGCTCCATGGCAACGTTCGCACGGATTTCACAGCACAGAAGGTGTTGGCACTGGAAGGGCCCTTGGAGATGAGTTCCTCCTACCCCGCACGCTGCCGCGTTTCACGGGAGGGGAATGTCAGACACCTAAGGTTACCAAACAACCCAGGGAAGGCGGGCTTCTGGCATGCTTCCTACTCCAAGAACTGAAAGCCGAGCTTTTATTTGGGGGGGGGGGAAGGAGCATCTCTTGGGGGCTCTGCTGCCATTTGCCACAGGACCCCCCTGAAACTCAGCTTAACCTTCCATCCCAGAGCTCTGCCTCAGCAGAGTCGGGGAGCTGTAATCTGGCAGGCAGATTACAGGGAGCTGTAATCTGGCAGGCAGATTACAAGAATGACTGCTCCAGAGGCAAGAAATTCATTTCTGCCCCATCTATTGGTCTAAGCAACAAGATTCAAAGGCAGAAGACATAGACCCTCTTCCTTCAGGGCTGTGGCTCTGTCCCTACCACCTCTTCCAGGGTGCTGAAACCCCTTTCTCCCGCTGTCCTGTAGCCTCTCCTACATTGTAACAGAGTGGATTACCTCCCCTGATGTTCCCTCATCGCCCACCCTGATCTGTTTTGCCCTCTACCTGGTGTCTCCTGTTGGACCTCTATTCTACCTTCAAAGCTCAGTGCAAATTTCCCTTCTCCCATAAAACCTTACTCTCACACGGAGCCCACAGCAGCTTTCCCATCCTTGCACTAACAAAGATTCGGTCTTAAATCGTTTTTTTTTTTTTTTTTTTGGTCATGGGGCTTGAACTCTGGGCCCGGGCACTGTCCCTCAGCTCTTCAGCTCAAGGCAAGTGCTCTACCTCTTGAGCCACAGCACCACTTCCAGCCTTTTCTGCTTATGTGGTGCTGAGGCATCAAACCCAGGGCCTCATGCATGCAAGGCGAGCACTCTACCACTGAGCCACCTTCCCAGACCCTGTCTTAAATCTTTGTCAGCAACTACGTGTCCTCCTGAGGTGAGGCCCATGTTTCTCATCGTTCATTCTCCAACTTCAGAGCTGCTTGTTGAGTCCTGGCACTGGCTTCCAGGGAGATGGCAGTGACCAAGACAAGCTGCTTCCTGTGCCCAGAGAGCTCACATTCCAGAGGGGAAAACAGATGGCAAACGCAGGAACCAAGAGACATAATGATCAGAGATGAGGAAGGAGGAGAGACCAGAGCGCAGGGGTCTGAGTCAAGCACCCAGAGCTCCTACTTTTCTCAGAGAGATCAGAGGAACCAAGGTGGTCATACACCTACTCACATGGCAGCAACAGGAGGATCAAGAGTTCAAGCACAGCCCGAGCAAAGGTAGACCCTGTGTCACAAAAACAACAACAACAAAAATAAATAAAACAGAATAAAACAAAAAAGAAAGAAAGGCTACAGTCCTAGCTCAAGTGGCAGAAGGATTAGCAAATACAATTTTCTGGGTTCAATCCCCAGCAATGGAAAGAAGAAGAAAAGAAGTGAGAAGTCAGAGACCTGGATTTTTATGCAAATTCCTAACTTTGCAGGCAGACCTCCTCTGCCGCCGGCCTCCTCCTTTCTGCAGCTCGCCTGCTGCTTTCCTCTTTCTCCTTGCTGCCCCACCAGCACCTCCCCACCCCCCAGATGCCCTACTTACAGCACCCAACCCCAGCTCCTAGCTGAGACCCTGGGCCAGCCTTCCTGGACACACAGAGCTGGAGATCAGCCTGAAAGAGGGTGAGAGACAGAAGGGGACAAGGAAAGAAAGGAATGGGGAAGGGGGAGCTCTAAGAGGACTTCCCTGGGTTCTAGTTACAGTTCCAACAGGTCCCTGAGAGGTCGATCTGAGCCAACCATTCAGTGAGACCGTTTCTAGTCTCTGGAAATAGTTCTCACAAATAAATCCTGGTTCTATCACCTCTTAATCCAGTGGCCATGGATGGCTCCCCCCTAACCTTCCTGGGCCTCAGTTTCCCTATCTGTGCATTGGGGCCCTAGAAGTACACATCTGACCAATGGTTTTGAATACACCGTGTATCTGGTATAGGGCAGCACCCAGAGTCCTCCTGTGTGTGGGAGGGGATCGCTGCTGGGTGGCAAGGCTCCATCTCTGACCCCCACAACCAGCTGCCCCCTCCCACGGGGCTCTGCCAGTCGGGCTGTCCCTCCAGCTCCCAGATGACCACTAAGAAGTCTTTCTCCGTCCCGGGGCACTGCCCTGGGCACCTCGGCTTGCGCCCCCTCCCCAGGTGTAGCTCTGGAGACCCGGGGACAGAGCCCCAGCCAGCTTGGATGGAGGGCGCGCTGGGCCGCGGAACGCTGGGCCAGGGTCCGCTTTGGGTTAGAAGAATCAGCCCGGGCGGTCGCCCTAGGGTCGGAACCCGGACAGGGAAGGGACAGGGACGGGCACCGCGGGGGGCGGAGGCGGCGGGGGCCGCGCTGTCCTCCCGATCACCAGCTGTCAGCGGAGCTTCCCGGACCCGCGCGCGCTGGAGAGGACGGAGCGCAGGGGCCGGGGGCCGGGCCGGGACCGCATCCCAGGACCCAGGCCCGCCCCCGGGGGCGGTGGCGGCGGCGGGCGGCCGGGCCTGAGTGGCTGCGCGCGGGCCGGGGGCGGGGCCTGGGCGGGGCCTGGGCGGGGCCCCGTCCCGAGGCCGGAGCCCGGGATGCCGCCGCCGCCGCCGCCGCCGCCGCCGCCGCCGCCGCCGCCGCCGCGGCACGGGTGCGGGTGCGAGTCCCGGTCCGGGTCGGGACCCGGGCGCGCCCGCCGGCCATGTCCAGGAAGAAGACCCTCCGGAGCAAGGGCGCCCGCGCGCCCGCCGCCTCGGCGCTGCCCTCCGCCGACCCGCCCCGCTCCGCCCGCCCGGGCCCCGAGGCGGCGCCCCCCGGGCCCCCGCAGCCCGGCCCGCCCTCGCTCGGCGGCGGCGACTTCTACGACGTCGCCTTCAAGGTGAGCCGGGCGGCGGCCCCGCGGGCGCGGCCGGTGGCGTCGGGGCCGGGCCCGGGGGAGGGGCCGGGGCGCGCGGCGGCCCCGCGTCCCGAGGTCCCGAGCGGCGCCCCGCCGCCGGCCGCGTTCAACAGCTGGCACGGGCGTCGGGGGGCCCGGGGCCCCCCACGCGCGCATCCGGGCCCCTCGGGGCCCCTCCGGCTTCCCCGCCCCCAGCTCCCGCGTTATCGCTTCCCATATGGCGCCTTCCCTCGCCGGGGCCTGCGGGTCTGGACCGGCCTCCCCTCCCCAAGGGGGGCGGCCAGGAGGAGGTTCGCTAACGGGGGTGGGGGGGATGAGGCCTCCCCGGGACCAAGGCGGAAGCGATGAGTGTGACCTGGGGTGGACAGGCGATGAGTGTGACCTGGGGTGGACAGGCGTAGCCCTGGGTTCTGGGACGTGGGGTTGGGGCTGGGCTGGGCTGGACGGGGACAGGACGGGGCCTGGCCAGCCCCACCTGGCCGCAGATGGGGCCCAGATGCTCTTCGGGTCAAGACCTGACCTGGTCAGCCTTGTAGGATGGACGCTTGGCGTCCTTGCTGGGGTTTGTTTGAAGAAGCCCCCCTGGCACACACCTCGCCTCCCTGGACTCTGGAGGCCACAGCTGACCCCCCTCCCTCCCCGGGGTCTGCTCCCCATTAAGCTCCAAGTAGGGACTGACCTCCCAAATCAGGTGTCGGAGGACTGGTGGGGTTGTGAACGGGAGCCAAGGCCCTGAGGCCCCCTCCATTGAGATGCGCGCTGTTGGAGATGGGACAGAGACCGTTAGGGGCAGAGACTGGGGGGGGGTTCAGATTATTGGAGACTGTAACTGCTCCCCGGCCTCTCCCCCAGAGGCCTAGAATGCCTCTCTTTTCTCTCCTGCCCAAGGCCCACGGCCCACCTCTGGCCAGAACTGCTCAGGGCAGACTCTGGTTGGAACAGCACCCCAGTCCCCTTTTCTCAGCCTGTCCCCCCCCCCCCATTTCGGCCTAGGTCATGCTAGTGGGCGATTCCGGTGTGGGGAAGACCTGCCTGCTGGTGCGCTTCAAGGACGGAGCTTTTCTGGCAGGCACCTTCATCTCTACCGTGGGCATCGACTTCCGGGTGAGCATAGAGGCTGAGGTCCCCGGCTCCTCCCCGGCCCAGCCATGCCCTGGTCCCCTCACATGCAGTCCACCCAGGACCCCCTCTCCCCAACCCATAGCTACAGCTCAGGGTGGAGCTGTCCTGAGCCACCAGGCTGGTGGCGGACACCTCCCCACACCTGCTCTAGACTGATGCAGAAATAGGTTGTCCAGTGCCGGGGGTTGGCACCACCCTAGGGCTGCGTCTCCACCTCCTCCAGGCAGAGGGGAGGCCAGGCTGGGCCCTGCCCAGGCCCTTCAAGCCACGTGTCAGTCTTGCAGCCTGTGTTTGCTAGGTGGGGAGGGGTGAGGGAGTGTTACCTTGGGATGAGGACACTTCCCCCAGCACCTCAAGAGGACTTGGGGGCTGTCAGATGGAATCCCACATGTTGAGATGCTGGTGTGATTCTCAGCACATTCTGAATTCCCATTTATTTTTCTCACCCTTTAATTAGACCCACTTAGCAGGAGGCTGAGAAGGCCCGGATGAGGTGCTGTGGAGCAGTAGACTTGTTTCAGAACTGTTCCATTCTTGGTGTCTTTAGCAAAGAATTGAACGACACTCATGAGTGAGGAGAAAAGCCACTCCACAGAGCGGGAGTGGACCGAACAGGAATGCAAGACCCCGTGGGTCCTGTGTTAGGGCGGTTTTAGGCTGAATTGGGTCAAAGGTCTCTCCTCCGTTGTGGTGGGACAGTTTTGAGGTGGCAGCTTCTGATTACATAGTAGTTCCTTACATTCTTACCCACAATGCACCAGGAAAATCCCAAGGGGGGCAAATTTCAATGCAAATTATATGGTAATGACCAAAAAGCAATCTAAGGGAAAAAGTGAGATTCCAGACATCGTTTTTGGGGCGAGTTACCCTTCTGGGAGAAACTTCCTCCAGGATGCTCTGAGAGCAAAATCAGCTGTTTTGGAAGGAGTCAGCGGTGGGTCCTGGGTAGGGATGGGGTTGAAGTCTCCACCTCCCTCTGTCATGGCTACTTCTCCTCCCTTATTTTCCTCAAGATGTGATCCCAGCAAGTCTTTAGGAGGTGGGAAGAGTGATGGGTTCTTCAGTTTGGGGCTGGCAAGGGGGTGTAGCTGTACCTGCTGGGGACTGCAGAAGTCTTGCTGTGTTCTAAGCAGAAGTCAGCTCTCGGGGCAGTACTCTCTTCCACCAGAAGCTCTGACTGGTGCCATTAATTTTGCCCACGGTCACTTCTTCAGGTACAGGATGGAACCTCTGTGGGGACTGTCATTTTTAGGCAAATGGCTCCTCGGTAAGAAGAGACAAAATAAATAAATACATGCAGGATCCATGACCCAAAACATGATCCCAGGAAAATCACTACTGAGGGGGCTTATGAATGGGAGAAACCATATCAAAATCCTACTGCCCATGGGTGCCAATAGGTTAGCTAGCCATCTTTCTTTTTCTTTTCCCTCCCTTCTTTCCTTCTTTCTTCCTTCCTTTCCTTCCTTCCTTCTTTCCTTCCTTTCTCTCTCCCTCCCCTCCTCCCCCCTCTCTCTTTCTTTAGTGCCAATCCTGGGCTTGAACTCAGAACCTGGGTGCTGTCCCTAAGCTCTTTTGCTCAAGGATAGCACTCTTATCACTTGAGCTACAGGTCCACTTCTGGCTTTTTTCTTTTTTTTTCTGTTGGTTGTGGGGCTTGAACTCAGGGCTTGGGCACTGCCCCTGTGCTCTTCAGCTCAAGGAGAGTGCTCTACCACTTAAGCCATAGCATCACTTCCGGTTTTCTAGTGGTTTTTTGGAGATAAGAGTCTCACGTGGGGCTGGGAAGGTGGCTCAGTGGTAGAGCGCTTGCCTTGCATGCATGAGGCCCTGGGTTCGATTCCCCAGCACCACATAAGCAAAAAGAAAAAAAGCCGGAAGTGGTGCTATGGCTCAAGTGGTAGAGTGGTAGCCTTGAGCTGAAAAGCTGAGGGACAGCGCCCAGGCCCAGAGTTCAGGCCCCACAACCTGACCCAAAAAAAAAAAAAAAAAAAAAAACAGTCTCAGGTACTTTCCTGCCCGGGCTGGCTTTGAACCATGATTCTCAGATCTCAGCCTCCTGTGTAGTTAGGATTACAGGTGTGAGCCACTAGTGCTCAGCTTACATTTTAATTTTTTGCTAAACTTTTTTCTACTTTTCCTGAGGATTGATCACTTTGTGTACTCTGCAGTAATCCAGAGCTAGGAATTATTTGTGTATTTATTTATTTCTTCCTTCCTTCCTTTTTTTTTGGCCTATCCTAGGGCTTGAACTCAGGGCTTGGGCACTGTCCTTGAGCTTCTTTTGCTCAAGGCTAGCACTCTACCACTTGAGCCACAGGGCTTGGGCACTGTCCTTGAGCTTCTTTTGCTCAAGGCTAGCACTCTACCACTTGAGCCACAGCGCCACTTCTGGCTTTTTCTGTGTATGCAGGACTGAGGAATCGAACCCAGGGCTTCATGCATGTTAAGCAAGCACTCTACCAACAGAGCCACATGCCCAGCCCTAGGAATGATTTCTATTTTTTTTTGGGGGGGGGGGGTCCAGTCATGGGGCCTGAACTCTGGGCCTGGGTGCTGTCCCTCAGCTCTTCAGCTCATGGCTAGCGCTTGAGCCATAGTGCCACTTCCGGCTTTTTTTTTTCCCTTCTGCTTATGTGGTACTGAGGAATTGAACCCAGGGCCTCATGCATGCAAGGCAAGCGCTCTACCACTGAGCCACCTTCCCAGCCCTAGGAATGATTTCTTTTAGGTAGATCTTACCACTTCCAGGACCCTTTCTGTCCCCATGGCAAAGACTTCTGTCCACCCAAGGCGTGGGTCAGTCAGCACAGTCCTCCTTGACGCCCTCTGTGGGGAGGCATAGGGGGACCTATTTGCCAGTCATCATCTGACCTTCTCTGGCTAGATCTGACCCGAGGGGACAATCGTGGTCTAGGGTTGTGGCAGAAGGACAGGTGAGAAAAACCTGATTGGCCATGGAAGCTATTCCTAATCTGGAAAAGCTCTGCTCCACACGCCTTGGTGACATCGGCCCGCCTATGGCATCCATAGATGTCCCCCTGAATTGCCCGGGGCAGAAGCTGCTCATTAACGAACCAGGTTCTCTCCTTCTGACACCCCCTGCCTGTGGGCTTTTCCTGATGCGTTGTGGATAATATGCAACAGAAAGGAAATGTTATATAATCCCCAGCTGTCCATCACCAAAGGGGAGGGGCTCTCAAAGCCCTCCCCTCCACCCGACTCGGCTCCGCAGGGCTCAGCACCCTTGCTCCTCCCCCTCCTCCTCGCGGAGAGTTCTGCTTTAATAAACCTGTGGCCCTCTCATTATTCATGTTTTGCTTAGTTCTTTGTTCCAGATGCCAAGAACAGGGAGTGGTTTTGAAATGAGCCTATTACGGATAACACAGAGACAGGGAATGGGGGGGGGGGGGTCCCGGGTCCCCTGCAGCTCTGTGGGGTGAAGGAAGGGCTGGGCAGGACGGGCCGAGCGGAGCCGTGCTCCTTTGCCTGTCCTGGTCTCCCTTTTGGGTCTGGGGCAAGGGATGAAGAAGGGCGAGCTGTTTGATTTGTAGCTTGTTTCAGGGTGCCAGGGGAAGTGAGGTATGGTCCTCAGCCTGGCAGATGGCTGAGCCTGGTTCCCCGGAGACCCAGAAGTACCCCAACAGGAACTCCGGAGGGCCCAGGACTCGGCCTTGGGGAGTGACTGTTTACCAGACAGTTCTGGCTCTGTGGCTGAGCAGTTGGATCTGCTGAGCACAAACCCAGGGCAATGCAGGTCCCATTGGGGAGAGATTTTTTTTAAACAAACAAACATCCTAAGCTGGGTGCTGGTGGTTCCGGCCTATGATCCTAGTTCCTCGGGAGGATGAGCAGTCTGACATCAAGGTTCAAAGCCAGCCTGAACAGAAAAACCCATGAGACTTATCTTCAATTAATACCAAAAAAGCTGGAAGTGGAGCTGTGGCTCAAGTGGTAGCAGAGTCAGCTGTGAGTAAAAACACTAAAGGACAGCACCCAGGCCCTGAGTTCAAGCCCCGGCACTGGCACAAAAACAACCCTATCAAGGCCTTTTCTCTGGGTGAGATGTGTTTTTCCGTACATACAGCAGCTCATTCATTAAGCTATCTGAGCAGCCATGGAAGGACACCCCAAGATGCCCATTTGCAGCACACCGAGGGAGCTAATAGTGGATCCGAGTCATGACCCAAAAGGCTTCAAAATAAGTACGGATGGCTGTAAGCAGCAACCACTTCTCCTGCAGCCTGTGAGTCTGCACTCTAGGCAGGTGGTCAAGGAAGACCGCAAGCCCCACGGAGCAGGAACGGGGCGCTCTCCAGGGTGGTGGAGGAAAAGTCTAGACTGGAGAGAACCAGGCAGCCCTAAGGTTTCGTTGGAAGCCTAGACAGTAGGCAGAGGGAAGGGAGGCGGCATGAAGGCTGGTAGTGCGTTCAAGAATGACTTAAAAGACTTAGCCAGGGGCGGGGCAGAGGTTCCTCATTTTCCCTGTCAGCGGGACGGGGCTGGGTTCAGTTCTGACTTACAAGCCCCTCTGCTCTCCCCTTGGAAGTCCCAAGGCAGAGAGTGGCACTGGGCCCCTGCTGGGGCTGATTCTGTTTCAGAACAAGGTTCTGGATGTGGATGGCATGAAGGTGAAGCTGCAGGTGAGGCGAGTCGGGGGAGGGGGAGGGGGAAGGGAGGCAGGGAGGGAGGGAAGGGGGCACCAGAAAGGGGCCGGGCATCATAACCAGAGCCATGTTGCCACAGATCTGGGACACGGCTGGCCAGGAACGCTTCCGCAGCGTGACCCACGCCTACTACAGAGACGCCCATGGTGAGCACCCACGGGACGATCTGGGGGGCGACACGGGAGGGCGGGATGCTGCCACGCCCCAGACCTGGGTACAGGCGTGTGAGCAGCGGGGGGGGGGGGGGGGGGGGGCGGACAGGAAGCCACGGGCTCCAGGCTGTCCTCACCACCCTCCGTCCCCAGCGTTGCTGCTGCTCTATGACGTCACCAACAAGGCCTCCTTCGACAACATCCAGGTCAGTGGAGGGAACGAATGGGCCATCAGGGCCCACGTGGCGCGAGGCTCCCCAAGTTCCCAGAGCCCCGCAGACTGCGGTGATGGGCACCGACGGGCCCGTGACCCCTCCGGTGGCATCCGGCCCTGTCAGCAGGCCCCGGGATCAGGCGTCTGTGAGGCGGGCACCTCTGCCCAGCGCACAGGTGCCAAGGTTCCAACAGGACGAGGTGCGAAGGGGTAGGAGCCCCCACCTGGTCCCAGCTCTCCCCACAGGCCTGGCTGACGGAGATCCAGGAGTATGCCCAACACGATGTGGTGCTCATGTTGCTGGGAAACAAGGTGGGCAGCCTGGCCCTGGGTGGTGGTGGGTCTGTGTGTGTGTGTGTGTGTTTGTGCATGCGCGTGTGCAAGTCACAGGTCAGGCGTCACCCAAATCCCTGTGCTGTGCCTGGGCCAGGTGGACTCTGCTCAGGAGCGTGTGGTGCGGAGGGAGGACGGGGAGAAGCTGGCCAAGGTGAGTGGGGGCGCCATGGGTGGGACGGGGCGCCTGGGAGACAGGGCAGCCGCGGCTGCCCCTGCCAGGCCTGGGGCAGCTGGCACAAGCCGTCTGCAGGAGTACGGGCTGCCGTTCATGGAGACTAGCGCGAAGACCGGCATCAACGTGGACTTGGCCTTCACTGCCATCGCAAAGTAAGTCCTGGCACTGGACAGGAAGTTCCCCCCCAGACTCGGGGTGCAGACCCTCTTGCTGGGGTATGGGAGTCTGTCTTGCTCCCAGTCATCGCCCCTGCTCTGCAGGGAGTTGAAACAGCGCTGCACCAAGGGTCCCAGCGAGCCCTGCTTCCGGCTGCATGACTACGTGAAGAGAGAGGGTCGAGGGGCCGCCTGCTGCCACCCCTGAAGCCTGGCTGAGCTCAGCCCTGCCTGGAGGAGCAGCCGTGTCCGGGAGGGCCGGACAGGGGGGCTATAGGCCCTTTTGACGTCACCCAATGGACACCCCCCGTGTCAACCATTTCCAGGAGTCTTGGGCCCAAGTTTCGTCTTTGTCCCAATGGCTATCTATCTCAATCCTCAGCCCAAACAGACCTCAAAGCCACGGTAACACCACGCCAAGGCGCTCTGCTGCCCCCACCTGGCCGTTCCCAGCTAAACCGGTCCCAGGCCAGTTCAGTGCCTGACTTTTTTTTGTTGTTTTTCAAAGCCATGTGTCTGTCCATCCACCACCGGACTCCTGCCTAGAACAGAGGCCTCCCGCCACAAAAGCACGCACTTATGCGTCTCAAGGCCCACAGCCTCCTCTCTCCTCCTAGCTTACTCCCCAGGTCCTGGCCCAAACAAGACCCTCAAGTGATTTCCAGGCTGTGGCTTTCTACAACAGCAAATAGCTTGTGGGAGAGGGCTGGGCGTGGAGCTAGGCGGGGCCTTTCTACTGCTGACACCAAGCTCTCCCCAACCAATCACTACTGCAAGTCTGTTTTCCAGTCCTACTGAATAAAGGTGTTTCCTTGAGTGTGTTGAAAATGGACCACTACCACAGCAGGTTCGAAGCCCACCTGTGTGGGACCAGGGGCTTCATGTTAATGCCCCCCTCAACTCTGATTAGATGAGCTTTAAAAGTTGCCACTGCTCAAAGGTGAATAACGTGAAGGGGAGGAGTTGCCATGTGCAGCTTCCCTTTCTCATTAGAATATTTCCCCGCTCTTACCCGCTTAGATTCACACTTCCATCTTTAATATGTAGTTAGGTATCAGGATTTTTTGTCGGTGGTGGGGCTTGAACGTGGGGATCAGTGCTGAGCATCTTTGTGCTCAAGGGTAGTACTCTACCCCTTGAACCAGCCAGTACCACTTTTGGTTTTTGAAGAGTCTCACGGAAGTCTAGAAATGTGGCTTAGTGGTAGTGCTTACCTAGCATACGTGAAGCCCTGGGTTGGATTCCTCAGGACCATACACACAGAAAAAGCCAGAAGTGGTGCCGTGGCTCAAGTAGAAATTACCACGTTCCAGTGCACTTTAGACCTAGCATCTCCAAGCTTGGCTTACATCACTTAGCAGGATTTGTTCTAGGTCCATCTATTGCCCTGAAAGTGACATGTTAATTCTATTGAGTTATTTTTATATGTAACAGTGATTGTCCGATGAGGGCTTATTTTCTAGACAACTATTCCAGGTGTGAGCCACCAGTGCCTGGCTTTGAACAAAGTTTAAACATTTTTGTAGCTAGCTGCTGTCAGTGAACGTTAGCTCCAGTCACTTTGAACACACTGGCCTCCAGCAGCTCAGGCCCCTATGGAGATCTCCCCCTTAAGCTGCTTTAAGTCAAGTCCATTTGGATACCATTTGCCATAGACCAGCCCTGTCAAGCTGTCTGAGGTAAAGATGTAGATTAGATGGACAACACATGCACTTTATAGAGAAAGCTGGAACCAGAACATGGGCTGTCTTCAGTCCCTAAAACTTCCCACCTGGCCACAGCTCTCTCCTAAGTATAAATGGGAGTTCTCAATGTCCTACCATCTTTCTCAGTGACAGCTGGACCAGGCTGGTCCGAGGCCACATAAGTGAACTCGGGTCCTGTGCCAGACTAGAGGTTACGAGGCCACGATGGGGGAGGAACTCGGGTCTGGGCACTGTCCAATGCTAGCGCTCTACTACTTGAGCCACAACACCACTTCTGGTTTTCTGGTGGCTTATTGGGGATAAAAGTGTCATGCATGAGTTTCCTGCCCGGGCTGGCTTTGAACCGAGATCCTCAAGATCTCAGCCTCAAGTAGCTAGGATGACGGACATGAGCCATTGGCTCCCGGCTTCTGCTGTTTTTAGGAAGTTAAGGGTTGCAGAGAGGAAGCGCCACACAGGTCAGGAAGAAGCGAGTGTACTTGGAGAGCCCGGGTGAGGCTGGCTGTTGGCGAAGCACGTGCTGGAGAAGACAGTCTAAGAGAGCTAAACATGGTTTAAAATCAGTGGGGAAGTTTCCTAGCAGGAAGGGCCGTCGCACCTTAGTTCAAAAGGGACTGAGCGAGGCTGGGGGATAGCAGGTAGAAGTGCAGGCCGAGATGGTTGGAGCTCCAGAGAAAGCTTAGGAAGTTGTGCCTCAAGTGCATTAGCTCTTTCAACTTTGCGTCAAGACTAGGGTCTGTAAAAAATGTGGAGGTTCCGCTGGATTCTTAAGGAAACCACCACTTGTTGGTATGGCGGGTGAAGCAATAGAGCAGAGGTTTGAGGTGGGCAGCTGCACCCAAGATGTACGGCCTGCTGAATCAAGCGGCCCTTCCAGGAGCAGCCATCCCTGTGTCCCCTGGGAGGGGCCTGTCACGGAGTGAGTCCCATGAACTCCTGTAGGCCAGTGGCAGCAGCGCCGAGGAGCAAGAGGCATCTCTGTGCAGCTAGCTTTTGCCTGAGCGTCCAGTCCTGGCTGGATCCCGGCATCCTCCGCAGTGAGTCACAGCTGCCGGTTGTGGGAGTATTAATGAAAGGTATGTCCCCTCCCCCACCTTGTTTTTGCCACTTCTAGGGCTTGAAGTCAGGGTCTAGTCACTGTTCCTGAGCTTATTTTGTTTAAGGATAACAGTCTACACTTGAGCCACAGCACCAATTCTGGCTTTCTGTTCATGTGGTACCGAGGAATCCAGCCCAGGGCTTTGTGCACTCTGGCAAGCACTCTCCCAGTAATCCATACTCCTTCCAGATTGCTGCACGTGAACATAGAATGATAGACTTTTCTACTTTCCCTGGAGAACATCAGGGGGTTTGATATTCCCAGTTGAGATTCCAAATCTGCACTAATTCCTCTGTAACAGCCATTATTTGTCTCCCTAAGCCAAGATGTCCAGACAGGTGGTGACTGCGATATGAAGGCAGCCTGGAGGCAGGAAACTGAAGACCAGACACAGGGTCACACACAAAGGAAAAGGAATTTATTGCCAGTAACCTGATTGGCTACCTCACCCGATGGGTAGCAGCCAAGCAGGCGGTTTTTATGGGGGTTAGGTGTAGGATGTGAGAGCGGAATTCCACTGTGACCAGGCTACCATTTATGGTTGTAGTTGTACAAACAGGAACTGCTTTAATGGAGAGGGAGGGGGTGTCTGTTAGCAATTGCAGCTGCTTCTTTTGAAGTAAGCTGTGTTTGGGGAAAGGCCGTGCTTTACCACACAACTAAAATGGAGTAGCTCCTAAGATGCAGATCAGACTAGCACTCCCCTTTTAATTTTTGGTGAGGATGGCTCGTTATGGTATCTGGGCGAAGGCCTGTTGCTAACTTCCTGATGGATATTGGGTGGGGTTACATGGAAGTATCCTCTGGATGAGGGGCAATGTGGCATTGTCTCAGGAGCCAGAAGCCTCTGACTATCTGGAGCCAGGAGCCTCTGATTCAGAGTCTGGTTGACGAAGGCTCTTGCTCTTTCTGTGAAGATGTTCTGCAGCCTTCTATAAATGCGGGGTAAAATTAAAAGTAAACCCAAAATGACCATAAAGAATCCCAACACAGGCAAAATCCATGAGGTTGTGTCCCCAATTGTTATGTGAGTGGCAAGCTGGTCTATGGCCTGTATTTTTTCTTCCACCTCTTCTGACAGGTTTTGAAATAGCTGGAAGTGGAATGTGGGGGGAAGGGTGTTACTCATCTTTAAGACTGTGTCCTGGTGATGTGTTGATGTTGTCAGTCTTCCAGAACGTCGGGCAGGCTCCGCTCCAATTGGTTATCTGCACATGCAGAGGTCCCGGGGAAACTACGTTGTAGTCCTCAATCCAGTCCGGGTTGGCTCTGGCCCTTGGGAGCTGCTGTGGTAAGAATAAAGGGGTTAAGGACTGTAATGGGAAGGCCGGAGGCATGAGGTTGATGGAAATTGGGAAACACTGTCAAACTCCAAAGGTGCCTGGGAAAGCTGTCAGGGGGTGAGGGAGCTGGTTAGAAGTTATGGAAGCAGACAGGCTGAGGAAGTGGTAGCCCAGAAGAGGGGTGCCCATGTGGAAGTTCTAATGGGCTGGTCAAGAAGGTTCCTCTGGTTCCTAAACAAAGGGGAGCCAGAGGAAAAGGTTTATGGGTAGTTAAGAAATGAGTCCAAGGTATGCGACTGGAGTCTTGACATAGACGGGCTCTGTCAGAGGCCCTGTAGCCCAGGCAGCAAGTTAGGAGTGAAAAGGAGATAAAAGCCCCAACATTCCTCAGGAAGGGCAGAGTATGGTCAACGGGAGAGCCCGGATTCGAGTCAGGGCACCAGTGAAAGGCTCCCCCAAGATCACTCGGATACGTGGCCACGTGCAAAGAAAAGGGAGTTTAAGGTCAGTAAGCCGACTGGGCCCCTCACCGGCTGAGTAGCAGCCGGGCGGAGCTACAAGCACGGTCTGCATGGGGCTTGGGTCCTCGCAGGAGAGCAGGAATCCCACCGTGACGGTGCAAACGGGAATTACTTTACCGGGGCGCTGTGATGGCCGCTGCCCCTTTCCGGGGGCAGGCCACGCTTCCCCGCCAGGCCTCGCGAGCGGCTCCTCAGGGGGAGGTCAGATCGGGCCAGCCACCCCCACCCCAGCCCCGTCCAGGGCGCGCCGGCCTCAGTACCGCTACGTCATCAGGCTGCGCGTGCAGCGTTCAGACGAGGTGTCAGAAGTCACAGCAGTTCATCACAGGCCGCGCGCTCCGCGGGGCTAACGGGCCCGGCCGCTTCTTACCTGGGGAAGCGCCAGGCCGCCGAGCCCGGAACGGACGCCTCAGCGCTGAGGACCAAGGCGGACTCGGCCCTAGGCCCGGCCGCGGACGGAGCGCGTCCCCCGAAGCCGCCGTTTCCGCAAAACCTGGGCCGAGGTGCGCAGAGAACGCGGGGCGCAGAGCAGCGCTCGCGGCCGCAACGCAGAAAGACCGAGGCCGCGCCGGATTCAAGCATTTATACAACCTCCCCCGCCTCCGTTGATTGGGCAGTCTTGGAGGAAGTGCCCGCCTTCCCTCCTCGCTGATACGCTCAGAGAGATGTTCTTTCCCCCAATTGAATCAAGGGGGGGGAAGGGGACGGGACGTTCTTCCGGGCCGAGTCTGGAGGTCCTTCCTTTTGCAGAGGCCATTGACTTTAACTTGTGAGCGACCGTGCATTTAACCAATCAGAGCCATCGATCCCGCCCCACGACGTCGGGGCCGCCGGAATTTGTAGTCTCTATGGCGCCGTGCGCGGCTCGACTGCTGGGGCAGCCCTAGAGCCGGAGGACTACAATTCCCGGCTCTCCTAGCGCCCGAGCGCTTCCGTCTCGAGCATCTGGTCCCTTTCCCGGCAGGCAACAGAAGGGGGGGGGCGGTGGGGGTACGATGAAATCGGGGGGTGGCGCGGCCGCTCCCCGGCAGCCGCGGGCGGGTAAGTGTCCGCGCGGTGCGCCCGGTCCGTACATTCGCGCCTCGGGACCCCGCGGCGGTGCGAACGCTTGGCGATCGGCGATCGGGCCCGGGGGGCGGGCCCGGGTCCCCCGCCTCTCCCCGCGCCCGCTCGCTCGCTCCCCCACTCCCGCGTTCTTCCTCCACTCCCGGCTGCATGCGCTGAGCGCCGCCTGCGCGCCAGGCGCCGTGGTGGGCGCCGGGGAGACTGCGGAGAGCGGGGTCGTCGGCTCGTGCGCTCCTCGGTGTCCGCGCCGGTGACAGCGGGGCCCGCGGCCGGCCGTCCCGAGCCTCGCGGGGTGCTGGGCCGCATCTGCGGCTCCCACCCTGTCCCCCTTCCCCGCCTCCGGCCCGGGGTACGCGTCCGCGGGAGGGCAACCCCCCCCCCCCCCCGAGCCCTTGGCCTAGGGAGAGGAGGGGGCGACCGGTGGATAATACGATTAAAATCACGGGCGGGGCCGGACAGGTAGGAAAAGTGCCGAGAAAGTGAGTGCTGCCGGCTCCCGGATGGTTGGGTGGTGTTCCTGCGGCCAGCCGAAGGCCCCGGGGAGCGAAACTTAACAAAGGCCCGCAGTGAGAACGGCCTGGGGACCCTCGGGAGCCTGGGGCGGGGAGGCCGGGCCGGGCCGGGCCGAGCCGGGAGCTCACAGCCAAGCCGGCTGTGGAGGAGCTAAGGAGCCCAGGTGGATCAGGTCTAAGTCCACCCCTGGTTGTGTGAGGTGATGGGCTTTGGGGCTCAACCCAGATGCGGAAGAGAATGAGGAATCTGGGCCTCTGCCTACAAGTTCTCATTTGGGGCCCAGCTCTTCTGAGGCTGGTTGTCCTTTGAGTCAAGCCAAGGTTTGTTTAGTGTCCATCTGCCCCTCCTGTCTCCACCTTGATCCCGCAGCTCCCCAAGGAAGGTTGTTCACCTTTGGCCTTGCTTCAACAGCAGTGTGCCTCCTTCCTCATTCCTTCTCTTTGGACCTTTCCCTTTCTAGACTTATTTCCTGAAGTTTGTGTGTCAGACAAGGCCTCACTGTCATCAACCCCTACTTTTACCTTTAGGCATGTATTCACTACAGTCTTTCCAAGAAGCTGGAGTCTCTTCTGGCAGCACATACGCTGCCTGGCTAAGGGAGTGACAGGCCAGGATGGAGCAGCCAAGGGTGGTGCCCAAACCCCAGAGTGTCCTGGAAGATTTCTCTGAGGCTATGTACCAGGGTTTTTCTGGATAGGATCAGGAATCAGTGGCTCACGCCTGTAACCCTAGCTGCTCGGGAGGTTACAATCTGAGGATTGAGGTTTAAAGTCAGACAGGGCAGGAAAGTCAGGGAGACTCTTGACCTCCAGTAAACCACCAGAAAACCAGAAGTGGCGCTGTGGCTCACATGATAAGTGCCAGCCTTGAGTGAAAAAGCACCCCGGCCCTGAGTTCAAGCAAGGGCACCAAAAAGAAAGAAAAGAAAGGATCGGATTTTCAGTTCCCGCAGAGAAGTGAGAACTTCACTTGGCAGATTGAGTAAAAGTTAGTGGGGTTTCCATCTGTTCGTGTCATTCCCCTGCAACCCCCCCAGCTTCAAGCTCCTTCTTCAGGGTCAGGGTCAGGCTTACGGCTAGCCATAGGCATGTCCCCATGCTCCAGTACAGAGTGACCCTTGACCAGCTGGTTGGACAAAGCAATGGGAAGAAGATGAAGCTGAAAGACCTGAGCTGTGATTTAAGGTCTTCCTTGGTTTTGCTGCCAGGAGATGGCTGAAGGGCACCGGGACTCCTGGGTTTGTTGTCAGCAGTGGAGGAAGCAGAAGGAATGGAGCTTGGATAAGCATTGTCATGACCTGTTACTGGCAGTGTTTGTAGGTCAACGTCTTGAGCTTTCTTAGCCCTCAGAGAGCGACTGTTCTTGACAGACCTCTCACTTTTTTTCTTTCTGGTACTGGGACTTGAACTCAAAGCCTCATGCTTATTTGACTGGCTTGCTTACTTGGTCCGGTTGGCACTCTTATCATTTGACCCATGCCTCCAGCTTGGCTTTTTGCTGATTGATTGGTGATGGAATCTACCTTGCTGCCTGGGTTGGTTTCAAACCTCAGTTCTCCAGGCCTCCGTTTCCTGAGTTGTTAAGGTTACAGCCACTGGTACCCAAATTAGATCCTTCATTCTTATTGTTGTCACCTCTCATGACTCCTGGATGTAAGTCTATTTCTGCTGTGTGTGTGTGTGAGTGTGTGTGTGTGTGAGTGTGTATGGCAGGACTAGAATTTGAGCTGTGTGTGTATGAGTCAGTACTAGTCTGAGCTCTGAGGCTGATGCTTGCTAGGCAGGCATTCTACCACCGGAGCTGCTCTACCAGCTCCGCTTTGTGTGTGTTGGTTGGTTGTGGGGCTTGAACTTGGGGTCTGGGCGCCATCCCTGAGGTTTTTACTCAAGGCTAGTGCTCTACCACTTTGAGCCACAGCGCCACTTCTGGTTTTCTGAGTGGGGTCTGGGCGCCATCCCTGAGGTTTTTACTCAAGGCTAGTGCTCTACCACTTTGAGCCACAGCGCCACTTCTGGTTTTCTGAGTGTGAGTTGTGGTAAAGTCTCTTGACTTTCCTCCCAGGCTGGCTTTGAGCCACAATCCTCAGCTCTCAGTCTCCTGAGTAGCTAGGATGACAGGCGTGAGCCACCAGTGCCCTGTGTATGTGTGTTATTATTTTATTTTATTTTTTTGGTCAGTCATGGGGCTTGAACTCTGGGCCTGGGCGCTGTCCCTAGGTTCTTCAGCTCAAGCCCAGCACTCTACTGCTTGAGCCACAGCACCACTTCCGGTTTTCTAATGGTTTATTGGAGATAAGAATCTCACAGGGGCTGGGAAGATGGTTCAGTGGTAGAGTGCTTGCCTTGCATGCCTAAGGCCCTGGGTTCGATTCCTCAGCACCACATAAGCAAAAAGAAAAAAGCCGAAGTGGCGCTGTGGCTCAAGTGGTAGAGCGCTAGCCTTGAGCTAAAGACAAGTGGTAGAGCGCTAGCCTTGAGCTAAAGACAAGTGGTAGAGCGCTAGCCTTGAGCTAAAGAGCTGAGGGACAGCACCCAGGCTCAGAGTTCAGGCCCCACGACCGGACTCAAAAAAAAAAAAAGAGTCTCACAGACTTTCCTGCCTGGGCTGGCTTTGAACTTGGATCCTCAGCTCTCCACCTCCTGAGTAGCTGGGATGACAGGCGTGAGCCCCCGGCGCCCGGCCTGTGTGTGTTACTTTTAAGCTAAGGCCTCCCTTTATGCTTCCACCAGCTTGGAGCGCAGTCCCGCTGTGTGCCTCCACACGTGGCTGGGCTAGCAGGTGCGCACCACCGCGCCCAGCGATTGGTCAAGATCGAATCTTAGAGCTTTGCTTTTTGCCCGGTCTGGCTAATCTCCCATCTCTCCTTCTGAGTAGCTAGGATTACAGGCTTGAGACTGTGTCCAGCTTCCATTCCATTTCATAGTGAGGAATGTAGGATTCCCTCCCCCACTGCCAAGAGCAAGCCACTCACCCAGTCACAACCACATCTCTATTTTTTTTTTTTTTTGGTCGGTCGTGGGGCTTGAACTCTGGGCCTGGGCGCTGTCCCTCAGCTCTTCAGCTCAAGGCTAGCGCTCTACCACTTGAGCTACAGCGCCACTTCTGGTTTTCTGGTGGTTTATTGGAGATAGGAGTCTCACGGTCTCTCCTGCCCCGGCTGGCTTTGAACCATGATCCTCAGATCTCAGCCTCCTGAGTAGCTAGGATTACAGGCGTGAGCCACCAGCACCCGGCTCCACATCTCTATTAAGTGGGGTTTGAACCCAGATCTGATTGGATATGGGCCTCTGGTCTTTAACAGGTCTTACACTGAACCCTTTAAGCCTTCCCAAGCCCTTTGATGAGCTGGCTCAGGAGGGTCCCTTCGAGAGCAGGCAGAGGGAAGCCCGTGTGGGTAAGAACCCCAGGAGCACCTGGGGGAGGGGTGCTCCAGTACCAGGAACAGGCGTGCTCTAGCATGGGCTAGAGCGGAACCGGGGGCACGTCTCTGCCCTCTGCATCCCCCATCTGGCTTGAGGCATCTCCCCTTCTCTCCCCCAGTGTCTGGGAGTGGCAAGAAGGAAAGGGTCCTGGGGGGTCTGGTGGTGTTAGTGGTCAGGATAGCGCTGGGCGCTTAGCTCTGGCCCAGGACCAGTTCCCGTGAGTTTCACTCAGCCGAGCCTCTGTTTCCTGGTGCCCTTGCAGTTGGACACTGCGGCCAGAGCAAACTTGCCCTCACTTCCCCTGCTGTGTCCGCGCTGGAGCTCGCCAGCCTCTTGCTCCGGGAAGGCCGCTGGCCTTATAGCATGGGCCCTGTCCCCACACCACAGCTAGCCAAGAGATCTAGGGAAGAAAGTGTGCAGCAGGGGCAGGCTGGACAGGGAAGCCCATTCCTGCAGTCCAGCCGGCCACGTGGGAGGGACTTCCTCCAGCAGACTGAGCCGTGGGTGCCAGCGAGGCTTGGCCAGGGCCGGAAGACCAGGAGGCTGGGTGTGGGGCACGAGGGCAGGCCCCCCAGAGGGCCTTTGTAGTGTTGGGGCCATGGATGATGTGAAGGGCAGAGGGGAGTGAGGCGGCACAGGCTGGGCTGGGGAGACCCAATGGGCTTTTGCCAGGGCATGTGGAGGCTGAGGAAGTCGAGGTCGGGAACAAACACTGGGGACCCCAGCGTCCCCTGCTCACCTGGATGGAAGGGTGTGGGAAGGGAGCACCAGGGGACCAGCGCGTGCTCTGCTGTGGCGTCCAGGCCTGTTTCTGTAGGGCCGGGCACCAGGCTTGGCTGGGGTTGAGCAGCCGGCCGCGGGGGCTCGGCGGGCAGCCGCTCCCCGGAGCTGGCCCTGTGATGCCAGGAGGCTTGGTGGGCGCTCTGGTTGACACCCAGCAACTTGGCTATCCACCGCTCGGGGCTACCACCTCCTGAGCCTTAGCCCACCAGGGCTGTCACAGGTCACAGGGAGGAGTCCCAAGTGGCACCTGCTGCTGGGGGGCGGGGGGGGGGGGAGGGGGAGGGCTGCGGGGGGGGCGGGGTCTGGGCTGGTACACGGAGCTGAATCTGCAGACCATTCCACCTGTGCCACCCCATCCACCAGCCGCCAGGCTCGGACCCAGGGAAACTGGGACCCTGGACTGGCAAAGCCACGGAGACCTGTGGGCCCCCCCCCCCCCCGCCCCGCCGCGCCCCCCGCCGCGCCGCCCCTCCACGGCACCTCAGCCAGTCTGGTGCTGAGGGGCTCCAAGCCTTGGATTTTCTGCTGGGCTTGCTCCGGAATGGGCCTCGTCCTGAGCAGGTGGCTCAGCGGAGCTTTCTAGAAGGGGGCTGTAGCTTTCCACGCAGGCGGAGGGAACCTCTCCCCCACTCCCCACATCCGTGTGGATGGGAGCAAAGAGGCTTGAGCCTTGATCCTAGACAGAGCTGAGGTTGGTGAGGATGACTCCCCTGCCCCGCCAGATGGAGGGTGAGCCGAGCCCACTAGCGCACCCGACAGGGAGAAAGAAAATGCCCCACCTCGATGCACACTCCCTCCCCACCCACCTCCTGACACCTCCCCCACCCCCACCTCCTGACACCTCCCCCCACCCCCACCTCCTGACACCTCCCCCCACCCCCACCTCCTGACACCTCCCCCCACCCCCACCTCCTGACACCTCCCCCCACCCACCTCCTGACACCTCCCCCCACCCCCACCTCCTGACACCTCCCCCCACCCCCACCTCCTGACACCTCCCCCACCCCCACCTCCTGACACCTCCCCCACCCCCACCTCCTGACACCTCCCCCACCCCCACCTCCTGACACCTCCCCCACCCCCACCTCCTGACACCTCCCCCCACCTCCTGACACCTCCCCCCACCTCCTGACACCTCCCCCACCCCCACCTCCTGACACCTCCCCCACCCCCACCTCCTGACACCTCCCCCACCCCCACCTCCTGACACCTCCCCCCACCCCCACCTCCTGACACCTCCCCCCACCCCCACCTCCTGACACCTCCCCCCACCTCCTGACACCTCCCCCACCCCCACCTCCTGACACCTCCCCCCACCTCCTGACACCTCCCCTACCCCCACCTCCTGACACCTCCCCCCACCCCCACCTCCTGACACCTCCCCCCACCTCCTGACACCTCCCCCACCCCCACCTCCTGACACCTCCCCCACCCCCACCTCCTGACACCTCCCCCACCCCCACCTCCTGACACTCCCTGCAAGTGTGTCACTCCCTTCAGAACCTTCTCTCTGGCAGCTAGAATCCTGGGCTGGGCAGGAGGAGGCGTGTATGAGCCTGGGCTACACCCAGCCAGAGACACCTTGTCTTTTAAAAACATGAAAAAAAAAAAAAAATCCAAGGACTGGGGATGCGGCTGGGTGCTAGAGCGCTGGTCCAGCCCACCTGCCTGAGGTCCTAGCACGGGAGGGGGGGCCGGGGGGGACTGTGTGCTTCCAGAGGGTGGAGGGAAGGAAAGGCAGCCTGGCAGCTGATCCTTGAACTTAGAAAGAGGGGTGTGATGGCTGCCGGGGTCAGCCCTTTCTGAACCCACTTCTCACAGCCATCCCCAGCTTGGAAACAGTCCATCCCTATGGAGGGCTGTCCCTCTCCCTCTCCAGCAGCCTTCCCCCCCCCCCCCCACTGGAGGCAAAGTGTGGGGGAAGGAGGCTCTGCTCCTCCTGGGGGGGGGGCAGGGCTTGTCCCCTGAGCCCTGATGGCCTGTGCCATCTGGGGTGCTGAGTCCCTGCATGTTGCTCCCAGGGCTGTGGCCTGCAGGGTGGTCTCCCTGCTGCCTACAGCCAGGCCCAGAGCACCGCGTGTAAGACTGTGATTGCAAAATTCAGCTCCTTGGGGGTTGGACTGAAGCGCTCCTGCGGCTTCCTGCTAGCTCCAGCCCCGATCCCAGCCTTACAGAGGGGCATCCAGACCCGGCCCCACCCAGCCCAGAGCCCCTGGTTGGGGCTGAACCCTTGTGAACTGGGGGGACAGCAGCAGTCCCGTGGTCCACCTCCCTCCTCTGTTCAGCTTGGCTCTCAGGCCACTCCTGCGCATCCCCCCTTCCCCCCCCAGGCCTTCCTTGGGACTTTCCAGCTGATGTGCGTGTTGCTGCGTGCCTTTCTGTTTACCTCAGTGTGGGAGACGCCAGGCTCTGCGCCCCGCAGCCCCCGCGGCAGGCGGACAGGCTGTCTGCCCTTCTAGGGGCCCTGGGGTGCAGGAGCTCACAGCTGGCCTTGCCGCCCTTGAAGCCAGCAGGGAGGAAGCAGATGGGTGTGACGTCCAGGCCAGTGGCCCCACTGCCGCCTTCCTCCAGCTCTTCTCAGAAGGGCTAAATGGTCGCGCTGATGCTGACGGCTACCCGGCCTTCCCCACAGAGGGGATCCGGGGATCCAGAGGGCGGGAGGCGGGGCGCGAGGCTCCAGCTAGCCTCTTGAGCTGCCCCACCTCCCCAGACCTGAGGAGCAAAGGGGGGTGCTGTGACAGGGCCACGAGCGAACCCTGGATGCCGGGTGCAGGACTGGGGGCCGTGGGGGTGGCACTGGGTGGAAAGGAACGGAGTTGCAGGGGTGGCAGACAGGCTAGGGGGGTCAGCCTCCCTCCCCTGAGGGTGGACAGCACCAGGAGGGCTGGCCGCCCATTGGTATTGCCGCGTGGCCCGGCACAGGCCTCAGTGGAACCCCTGGCCCTGGAAAGGATCTTCATCTGTCACGCGCCCCTCCAAGCCGCCACGCGCACTTCAGACCCTCTCGGGAAGGGGCGTGGGGGCCTTCGGAATGCCTTCTTCCTCCCCACGGAGATGTCAGGCTTCTGCTCCGACCAGGACCACCACTGGGGGCATGGTGGGCCCTCAGCTCCTAGACCATGGGGTCATGAGTGTGGGAGACCTTGGGGGGCAGCTGCTGGCAGTGCCGCGCGCCTTCAGAGTGGGTGCAGGTGCTGAGCGACTGAGGGGCAAGGGCCGGGCCCCTGCTCCTGGGGAGGAAACGGGTGGTTGGCTCTTTTGTTCGGTTTGTTTTGTTTTTGTCAGTCGTGGGGTTTGAACTCTGGACCTGGGCACTGTCCCTCGGCTTTTCAGCTCAAGGCGAGTGCTCTACCACTTGAGCCACACCGCCACTTCTAGTTTCCTGGTGGATCATTGGAGATAAGAGTCCCATGGACTTTCCTTCCCCAGGCTGGCTTTGAACCACGATCCTGAGATCTGAGCCCCCTGAGTAGCTGGGATGAGAGGCGTGCACCGCCACGCCCGGCTGGGTTGTTGGCTCTTGTGTGCTTTCCTCGTGCCCTCTCCCCGCTACCCAGCCCTTGAGTGCACCCTTGGGGGGCCGGGACCCTGCACAGGGTGGACAGCTGGGACTTGATTTTGCCATGACTTTCTCGTGTGATCTTCCTATGATTAGAACTCAGGAGAGGTCAACACCCAGTTGCTTCACCCTGAGTTCTCGCTGGGGTGTGGTAGGGTCCCCTCTGACTTACAGATTGAGGCTGGTTGGTTCAGACTGCTCCCACCGGTGCCAGGTGACGGGTCCCGGTGATAGGCTGAGGCTCACGATGCGCAGGGCAGCCAGCGCTGGTGGGGACAAAGCTCAGCAGAACATTGAGGGGGCCCCCTCCCTGTCCTGGCAGGGGGAGGCCGCTTGCTGCACCTGGGGCCTGTGTGCGCCCTGGGGGGGAGAGGGGGGTACACGCTTGCCCCCCCATTGGTGTTAGAAGGGGGTGGGGGTGTCATGGCCCTGTGGTAGGTAGCCTGGCTGGCAGCCAGGAACCCGGATGCTGCGTCCTGAGCCCTCATTGGTGTTCCTCCCCCAGGAGATGCTGCCAGGGAAGCCGGAGGCGTCTCTAGAGCATGAGCTTGGGCGAGAGTGCCCGCTCCAACTGCTTGTCTGGGGGCCCCGCCAGCCTTCCCTCCCCAGACCTCAGCGGCGGGGTAAGGGGGTGGCTGGGGTGCTGGTGGGGGTCTTCCCACTTGGGGTGCCCGTACTGTAGGTGCCCAGCGTGCCGGCGGGCTGCCCCTCCCTCCCTGCAGCGCCCTCTGGGCTGGATGCGTGGGCCGGCGGGCCCGTGGGTGGGTGGCCACCGCGTCTGTCCAGACTCTGTCCAGAGACAGGCCGGGTCTCTTCCGTTCTCTCCTAGACCAAAATGGAAACGACCTTCGGTCCCACTTTCTCAGCCGTCACCACCATCACTAAAGGTGAGCCTCCACGTGGGAAGAGCCCAGACCCCTGCCCCGCTCCAGGGGAGAAGGAGCGCGGCCCCGCCTCTGCCCCTGCCATGTCTCCGCCTGGCCCAGTCTTCCCGCTCCGTCTTGAAACCTTGCCTCTCTCTCCAGGGAGGGCGTGCTGGCGTCCCTGGCGCCACCGGGAAGCCCCCCTAGTGACCCACGGTTTGTCCCCAGCCCCAGACTCTAGCCTCTGAGAGGTCGTGAGTATCATGGGATTCTTTCTCAAGTGTGGACCAATGCCCTCAGCCCCAGCACAGGTCCAGGAGGTCGTAGAGAATGGCAAAAGGAGCAGCGTCCTGTCTGAAGGCTGGGGAGGGGGTGAGTAGCCCTCCTGGCAGGGCCTGGGCTGCGGGGCAGGTGCACGCTGCCTTCCTGGCTCTCTGCCCTGCAGGAAGATGCCAGCCACTAATTGGTTTTTTAATTGCCTTCCTCTGGCTAAAGGGAATCATGGCTGCCGGGGACGCCTGCTCACCTAGCTACTTTTGCTGCTTGGTGACCCCTGGGGCTCCGAGAGAGCCTCTTTCCCGGCCCCCCCCCCACCCCCATTTCCCTTCTCACAGGGGGCTTGTTTCTAAGGAGAAGAATAAAATTAATATCATCCGGAGCCCCGCCCGCCCTCCCCTCTGTCAGCCCAGCCCTCCCGGAGCCCACCCCAGAGGGAGTGGGCGGAGCCTGGCAGGGAGGCAGGAATGGCCGCCTCTCCTGTTACCAATAGGGAAACTGAGGCCTGGCCACAGGGTCAGGCAGTCCAAAACCTTACCTTAAACCAAGGCCTTCAGGGCGGGTTGAGGGCACCTGGGCCCAGCCCAGAGGAGCAGCCTCCCGGCCCCAGGGTGGCAACCTGCAGCGCCCCCTCGTGGACGCCTGCTCGGCCTTCTCAAGCCCAGGCCAGGCCAGGCTGGGTGGCTCGTGGCAGAAGGAGGTGGAGGCCGCCATGGCTCGGCCTGGTTCCTGGCGTGGCTGCCACAGAGGTGTGAGGGAAGGCCCAGGCCACCAGAACCCGGTCCTCACCCAACCAGGGGCCAGCCGCGGGCCTCAGCCTCTCCATCAGAGAGCTCTTCTAGCAGAGTTACCTTGCAGGTCCACAAGAGACCCCCAGCTCCCGCCAGGCCTGAGATGTGATCATCTGCGGTTGGGCTGTGCGTCAGCCGGCATGGGGTGCCCCAGCCGGGCTCGGGGGTGGGGGAGCTTTGTAAAGACTTCACGTGGAGCCGGGAGCCCTGCCCAGGTGCAGGCCGAGCCTGAAGCCACACTTGTGGCACCGTTGACATTGGGAAGCCAACCGGCCTCCTTCAACCCATCTGTGTGCGCTCTCGGCCTCAGGAAGGGCTGAGCGCCAAGAAACAGGACCCCGTGTTCCACATAAGCCCCAGCAGCCAGGCCAGCCTTTGCCCCGTCTGGTGTCTGCAAGGGCCTGTGCTCACAGCTCCTGGGCTTCTCTCCCTGCAGCCGATGGGGCCGGCACCTACAAACAGCACCGCCGGACGCCCTCGTCCTCCAGCACCCTCGCCTTCTCCCCGCGGGATGAGGAGGACAGCATGGTAGGTCTGCACCCCGGGAACCAGGCCCTTCTGGCCTCCCCTCACAGCTTCTGTCCTGAGGACCAGGTGTCAGGAGGTGGCCTGTGTGTGTGGACATCCTGGGGTCTGGGTACACGTGGCAAGTCCACTGGGCTGCGAAGGCCTCTGGGCCAGGTAGTGGCAGCAGAGAGCAGCTGGTGTGGGGAGGAGGCTGGGACAAGGCGCTTTGGGCCCTTTTTTGTTTGTTTTTTTTTGTCAGTCGTGGGGCTTGAACTCTGGGCCTAGGCACTGTCCCTCAGCTCTTCAGCTCAAGGCGAGTGCTCTACCATTTGAGCCACAGCACCACTTCTAGCTTTTTCTGCTTATGTGGTACTGAGGAATCGAACCCAGGGCCTCATGCATGTGAGACAAGCACTCTACCACTGAGCCACCTTCCCAGCCCAACTTTTGGCTCTATCTTAAGTGAGGTAGGGCCCAGAGAAGATTTTACTTTTCAGTTTTTTGCACCTGATAAAATCCATGTTTGTTCAGTGCCAGTACTAGGGCTTGAACTCAGCCTGGGCCTTGACTCTCAGCTTTTGTGTTCCAGGCTAGTGTTCTATCACTCAAGCTACAGCTCTACTTTGGCCTTTTTATTTTGGTGATTAACTGGAAATAAAAGTCTCGGGCTTTCCTGGCTGAGCTGCCTTCAAATCAGGATCCTCAGATCTCAGCCTCCTGAGTAGCTACTGTCACAGGCATGAGCCACTGGGGCAGGACTAGAATCCTGCTTTTGGAACGTTTTGGAAGCTTCCCCTGTGGCAGGGACAAGGCGAGGGGTGGGTGAGGAGTCCTGACTCGGAGGAGGCCACAGTGTGTGGGGGAGGGCAGGAGGTGCTGCTGGGGGTCCCCAAAGGCCGGCAGACCTGTGGGGTCCGGAGGGGAGCGGGCGAGGAAGTGGTGTTGTGGGCAGCCGGGCTGGCTGCCGGTGCCACTCCCTGCCAGTCAGGTTTTGGCCTACCCTGGCTGCTGGCAGACCTCAGCCCTGCCTGGGAGGGGCAGCACCGGGCGCCGCCTGCTGCCTCACAGTGCCTGCTGCTGGCTGCAGGGATGTTTGACTCACTTCCTCTGATCTTCCCCTGTTCCTCGCATGCGCCTGTGGTGTCTCCATGCACCAGGGCCACTTGGGGCAGGGGGCAGGGGGGGGGGTGCCTCCGCTGACTTCTCAGGGTCCAGCCCTGGGGCGTTCCGGGAACAGGATGGCTCCTCAGCCGGGCAGAGGCCGCTGGACCAAGGGCCGTGGGCCCAAAAAGGGTTAGGGCTCATGAGAGATGGCCACGCGGGTTCTGTCAGCCTGGAGGGGGGCGTGCGCCGAGCCAGGACTCAGCTACCGTGCAGGTTTCTAGGCCAGGACAGGAGGAAGGGACTGTAGCCATCCCTCCTCCCCTAGGGTCCCCTAGCCTTTTTGTGGGGCTCAGGGAGAAGGGGCCCTGTGGTTTTCCCCTCTGGCTCAGGATGCTCAGCCCCAGGGTCGATTCCTTTCCGTCCAGCCGTCGGGGGGCCTGGGCCGTCCCAGGATTGGCCGGAGGTGGCGCCCCCTTGCCGGCCGCATTCCCTCACGGGAAGCAGGAAGCAGCCCCGGCCTGGCCTCGGAGAATTGAATAGCAGGAAGTCTCTCCATTTACACAAAGAAAAGAAAGTTGGCAGAGAGCGCGGCGGCCCAGCACCAGGTCCAGGCCGGCCTGGGTGGGCAGGGGGGACGGGACTGCGCTCCCCTCCCCCCAACCCACAGGCACCCCCCCGCGTGGGCCGCAGAGGTGCCCCCAGCCGCAGGGGCTCCGCCGCCCCTCCCCTGCGCAGGCTCTCAGCCTCCTCTCTCTCCGCAGCCCCCCATCAGCACTCCGCGCCGCTCCGACTCCGCCATCTCTGTCCGCTCCCTCCACTCGGAGTCCAGCATGTCCCTGCGCTCCACGTTCTCGCTGCCCGAGGAGGAGGAGGAGCTGGTAGGTGTGGGGGCGCCGTGGCCCTCCGTGGAGGGGCTTCAGGCCGGTCCCGGGGTCGCGGTGGCCAGCCCTGCCCACCCGAAAGGCCGAATGCGGCCTGTGGGGGCTCAAGTGGCCAGGCTGGGCTCTGTCCCATCAAGGACAGCAGGAAAGGGGGTTCTCTCTAGTCCGTCCCAGGAAGGGGACAGGTGAAAGCTGGGCCTGCCTCCAGGGCCACACCCCTTACGCCCCTGGGGCGCCCCGGGCCTGGACAGGGCAGAGCGGGCGGCCTCTGCAGGCTGCCTGGGTCACCCTGGACCCCACACACCCCCTTTCCCCCACGTGGTGCAGGAGCCGCTGGTGTTTGCAGAGCAGCCCTCGGTGAAGCTGTGCTGCCAGCTGTGCTGCAGTGTGTTCAAGGACCCCGTGATCACCACCTGCGGCGTGAGGCTCCCCCACGCGCGCCCTCCGCCACCTTCCCCGGGCTGGCCGGCTTCCCGGGCCCCGTGAGCCCGGGTTCCGCTCGCATCCCTGGTGTGGCTGCCCTTCCGGCGCCCTCTGCACGTGGTCGGGTGCGGGATGGGCCCTGGACCTCCACTGACCTTGAACTCGGGTGAAGGACGCCGACTGCCCCTCACTGTAGCCTCTTGTCTCCACAGCACACGTTCTGCAGAAGATGTGCCTTGAAGTCAGGTACAGTGACCTCTCGTTCGGACCCAGCCCCTTAGCCCCCAATAGGGAAGACACACGGCAGGCCTGCCTGCCCCCCGCTGCTCCGTGGACACCACTGACTTCTCCCTTGTGCCACACACCACGTCCCAGGATGCCCGCCGTCTCTTGGCACTGGGGTGGTGCTGTGGGCATCGGGCCCGGGGAAGCCACGAGACTGGAACTCCTGGCATCTGTAGACTCAGCCCTCCCCGGGCAGACCCGGGCCCCGCCACCCCCTCCACACCGAGCTGGCTGCGTGTCCCCCCCCAGCCTGGCCAAGACTTGCTGGGCCAGCCGTCACCAGCCACTGCTTGTCCTGTGCGCTGGCAGAGCTGCCCGGGGCAGGGGAGGGGGGCAGGCGGGCATCGGCATGTTCCCCTCCCCAGAGAAGTGCCCCGTGGACAACGCCAAGCTGACGGTCGTGGTGAACAACATCGCCGTGGCCGAGCAGATCGGGGAGCTCTTCATCCACTGCAGGCACGGCTGCAGGGCCACCGGGGCGGGGAAGCCGAGCGTCTTCGAGGTGGACCCCCGCGGGTGCCCCTTCACCATCAAGCTCAGCGCCCGGAAGTAAGTGCCCCACGACCCCCCAGTTCCCTGGGGCTCCATTGCGGCCCCCCCCCCCCCCGCCCTGGCTCAGCCCTTTATCCTCCCCCCCCCCCCCCCCCCCGCCCGCCCCGCCCGGCCTAGGGACCACGAGAGCAGCTGTGACTACAGGCCTGTGCACTGCCCCAACAACCCGAGCTGCCCGCCGCTGCTGAAGATGAACCTGGAGGCCCACCTCAGGGAGTGCGAGCACATCAAGTGTCCCCACTCCAAGTACGGGTGAGTGGGTGGGGCTCCGGCTTGCCCCCCTGCCCCGCCCACCCCGCACGGTGCCCGGACCGGCGGTGGACCTGAGCCAGCGGCTGGGCCCCCAGTCATCATAGCCAAGGCCCCAGGAGCCCCAGCCCAGGGCGTGTGCAGAGAAGTCACCGCGCTGGCGGGGCTCAGAGCACGCGAGGCTCTGCCAGGGCAGCGGGTGTCAGGCTGGCGTTGTGGGCTGCGGGGAGGGGCGGGGCGCAGGTCTATTCTCAGGTGGGTGGAGGCCCTTGATAAGCCCAGTGTGGGCCGAAAGGACTTGCGAGGGTCGGGGAGGCGGCCCGCGCTGGAGCGGAGCGCACCGCCGGGGAAGGTTCCTCTGGGTCGGGGGCCGGATGCGGGTCCCATCGGGCAGCCGGCCTGTCCCCCCGCCCCAGGTGTACGTTCATCGGGAACCAGGACACGTATGAGACGCACCTGGAGAGCTGCCGCTTCGAGGGCCTGAAGGAGTTCCTGCAGCAGACAGATGACCGCTTCCACGAGATGCACGTGGCGCTGGCCCAGAAGGACCAGGAGATCGCCTTCCTGCGCTCCATGCTGGGCAAGCTCTCCGAGAAGATCGACCAGCTGGAGAAGAGCCTGGAGCTCAAATTCGGTGAGATGCGGCCTGGAGGGAAAGGGATACAGAGGCTGCCCGGACTCTTGTGACACCGCCCCTCCTCCCCCTGCGTAGATGTCCTGGACGAGAACCAGAGCAAGCTCAGCGAGGACCTCATGGAGTTCCGCAGGGACGCGTCCATGCTGAATGTGAGTGGGCAGGGCTGCGGCCGGCCCATGGCTCTGCCCGAGGCCCCGGCAGCCCCCCCATCCCTCTCGCTCTCTTCCCTTGGTCTTGCAGGACGAGCTGTCGCACATCAACGCTCGGCTGAACATGGGCATCCTGGGATGTGAGTATGGCCCGTGGCAGCCCGTCTATGTCCCCAGAGCCCCGCTGGTCCCTCACTGACCTCTCCTGCCTGCAGCCTATGACCCCCAGCAGATCTTCAAGTGCAAAGGGACCTTCGTGGGCCACCAGGGTCCCGTCTGGTGTCTCTGTGTCTATTCCATGGGAGACCTCCTGTTCAGCGGCTCCTCGGACAAGACCATCAAGGTAGGCAGGGCCCTGCCTCGGGCTCCACAGCCCACCCCTGCCACCTCTTGCCAGGCCAGGCCCTCTTCCCTGGGTGGATTGCTGCCTAGCACTGGGCCAACCCTGACAGGCTCGGCCGGGCCCTTCATCTCTGCAGGTGTGGGACACATGTACCACCTACAAGTGCCAGAAGACCCTGGAGGGCCACGATGGCATTGTGCTGGCTCTGTGCATCCAGGGGTGAGTCCCGGCATAGATGCACCTGTCGACATCCCCTGTAGGCCAGGAGCTGTAAGCAGCAGTCTGTTTAGCTTGTCTGCCATACCTACGGTGCACCGTGGACCAAACCATGCCAGGCTTGGCGTGGCACCGCCAGGTGGTGTGTGGGGGCCCTTGTGTGGCTCTGGAGTTGTGTGTGGATAACACTTGCATGGCTGGCCTCCCGCAGAGCTTGGCCCTGCTGGGTCCTGCGGCCAGAGGCTGACAGGCGCTTAGAGACCACATGGAGGCAGGCGCTCACCCCTCACCAGCATGGCCGGCGCCCTGGGCACTGCTCTGGGCTCAGGCACAGGGCGCGGATGCGCCGGCCATTCCCTCACCCCACAGTGGCCTCTGCCCTAGACCTGCCCCATCTCACATGCTAGGAGGCTATGTGTTCGGAGAAAGAGCAGAGCTCACCCACTGGCTCCCTGAGGTCAGTGCGAGGGAGCTGACCTCCCGGCCTGGCCACCAGATGCGTCCCAGGCAGGCCTGAGGGGTGGAGCCACCGTGCCAAGGTTCCTGTGTCAGCTGAGGCTGTGGTTCCAGGAAATGGCAGCAGGCCGAGCCGTTGGTCCCAGAGGCCGCCTGGCGGGGTGGGCGAAGCTGGTGGTCTCAGGGCTCACGTGACGGCTTTGCCCCTCCAGGTGCAAACTCTACAGTGGCTCTGCAGACTGCACCATCATCGTGAGTGGGGAGAGGGGGAGGGGAGGGGGTGGAGGAGGCTCGGCGCTCGCTCCCTCCCCGCCAGGACCCTGAGGCTCACCTCACCTTCCCCAGGTGTGGGACATCCAGAACCTGCAGAAGGTGAACACCATCCGGGCCCACGACAACCCAGTGTGCACCCTGGTGTCCTCTCACAACATGCTCTTCAGCGGCTCCCTGAAGGCCATCAAGGTACAGCCCAGGTGTGCACGCACACGCGCGCGCGTGAGTGTGCACATGCATGTCGGTGTGTGTGCACGTGTGTGCGCGCGTGCATGTGCACGTGTGTCCGTGTGTGCACATGTGTGTCCGTGTGTGTGCGCGTGCATGTGCACATGTGTGTCCGTGTGTGCACGCGTGGGGCATGGGGGGCCCGCCCAGCCTCTCCTCACAGCCATCCCCACAGGTCTGGGACATCGTGGGCACCGAGCTGAAGTTAAAGAAGGAGCTCACAGGCCTCAACCACTGGGTGCGGGCCCTGGTGGCAGCCCAGAGCTACCTGTACAGCGGCTCCTACCAGACAATCAAGGTGCACCGGGCTGCCCTCCTGGAGGCAGGATCTTACCAGGCTGGCCCAAGACTCCCTCCTCCCCTGCCCCTACCATCATGCGTGGGGGGGGGGTCAGGGTGCTTCCTGTTGAGCCCCAGAGGCCCTGGGAGTGAGGCAGGCACCAGGCCTGGGATCAGGAAGCCACCCTTGCCTATAGATCTGGGACATCCGGACCCTCGACTGCATCCACGTCCTGCAGACATCTGGAGGCAGTGTCTACTCGATCGCTGTGACAAATCACCACATTGTCTGTGGCACCTACGAGAACCTCATCCACGTAAGGACTGGGTGCCCAAGGCAGGCCCCCCTCGCCGGTCCCTGCCCCTGACCCGCCTGTGCCACCTCCTCCCAGGTGTGGGACATCGAGTCCAAGGAGCAGGTGCGGACCCTCACCGGCCACGTGGGCACCGTGTATGCCCTGGCAGTCATCTCCACCCCCGACCAGACCAAAGTCTTCAGTGCGTCCTATGACCGGTCCCTCAGGGTAAGGGCTGTGGGGCTGTGGGGAGGGCGGGAGGGCGGGTGGGAAGGAAGCTGTCCCAGATGCGCCCTCACCATCCTGCATCCCCAGGTCTGGAGCATGGACAACATGATCTGCACGCAGACCCTGCTGCGCCACCAGGGCAGCGTGACCGCGCTGGCGGTGTCCCGGGGCCGGCTCTTCTCAGGGGCTGTGGACAGCACCGTGAAGGTCAGTGGAAAGGGCCACGCAGGGCGGAGCAGGGGGTGCAGGGTGAGGAGCCCTGGGCAGCGAGCCCTGGGCCGCAGGAGCGCCTGACTCGGAGCCTTTTCTTCACAGGTGTGGACATGCTAACAGAGTGCAGGCCAAGCCGTGGCTCCCGCTGGGCCCGTCTGAGCCAGGCTGGCCACACGGGGTGGCCTCGGGGTTTCTCCCTGCCCTGTGGGGATGGACTCCGGCAGCAGGGTGGTACCCCCTGCCTTACGCCCAGCAGGTCCCCCTCCAGCAGGCCCTAGCTCACTGCTGCCAGGGAGATGGCCAACCCACCCACCCCCCGTGGGTGCCAGGTACGATGCCCCCCGAGCCCACTCTCACTCCCACTCCAGATGCCCCCCGAGCCCACTCTCACTCCCACTCCAGATGGATGGACTGCGGGCCTTTTTACTCACCTTTTCTACTGGTTTTAGACTGTATATAGATTTTATTACTTCCGGATTGAAATAAAAGCTGTACAGACTGTGGTGGAGACTGTGCTGGAGACAGGTTGTAGGGCCGAGGCCTCTCTGGCCCTGATGACACTGGGATGCAGAGGGAATTCGGGGGGGGGGGGGGGCGCGACCTCCCTCCCTTGGCTCCTGACCTCCCAATGCCTCCACCTTCCTTTCCCCAACAGATGTCCCCAAAAGAGTGAGCCAGCCAGCTCGGTTTTCTGCTGTTTATTGACAGCTGACAGCTGCTCCCTGCCCAGACCCCCCCTCCCCACTGCCAGGACCCCAGCCTGGGCTGGCCACCCAGGAGAGACCGGCAGCCTGTCCGCGGGGAAGCGCCCGGTGTGGCGGCTGAAGGCCCGTTCACGCGCAGCCTGGTCAGCTTCCCTCGCCAGCCCACACCCACATCATTGCTGGTTTGGGTTTTTTTTTTTTTTTTAATTTTTCTTTTCTTTTTTTTTTTTTTTTTTTAAAGAAATGTCAAAGTTGTGCCCAACACTTGTGGATCAGCAAACACAATAGAGACCAGTCAGTATTTTTTGGAGGGAGGAAAAGAGGGCAAGAACTACACAACACAGCCTTGGACCATGAGCAGAAGCATCCGTGGGAACTTGGGGGGGCTGGCTGCCAGCGCGGGGCCGCCCTGGGCACCTCTGCCCATCAGCCTGGCATGCACACCCTGCTGTCACTCGCCACGTGCCTGTGTTCACCACGATGAACACACGGCACCCCCTCACCCCAGCACCCCCAGGACATAGCCACACACCAGGAGGAAGGAGCCTTCCCCGAGGCCTCGGACACGGAGAGCACAGCCCGGCAGCGAGCAAGGCACATCCTTCAAGTTCTTAGGACGCAGAGAAGTTAGGAGAGCAGGGAGAGGCCCCCATCCAGGACCAAGTCTCCTGTGTGTGCTTGTGGCCAGAGGCAAGACCACTCCTGGACAGAGGGAGGGGAAGACAGACAGACAGATGGCCTGGGCCTCTGACAGCTTTTGACTCCAGTGGGACTCCAGTGTCCTTTCAGTTGGTAAATGGTTTTCTATAGACTCAATAATATTTCTTTCTTTAAATATATATTTGTTAAAGTTATACCTTTTTGTTCTCTAGGGAAATCTGCCTTAGCTCATTCCCAATAAATTAATACTCTTGATAGCTTATATTCTGGGGGGTGCAATGAGGAGGGCCGGTCTGGGCCTCCGTCCCCTGTGCTGCTCTGAGGAGCGGCTAGCAGAGGCTCCCCAATGGGCAGTTCTGTGCTGGGCATAGGCCTGTGCTCTGCCACAGATTGGGGAGGGGGCCGTAGGGCCTTCAGGGACCGCCACCCTTCCCCACACCCCTGCCCCAGCCTGCCTTGGCAGGGGAGGGGCCGCCCTCCACGTGCAGGGCGGGCGGTGAGGCAGAGGGGCCTAGCAGTTATTGCACGGGGAACAGCAGGCAGGGACGGGCACCCGCGGGGCAGCGGGGCTGCCCAGAGCCCTTGGAGCCCCCAGCCAGGCGGTCCTCCAGACTGGCGTCCAGTCTGGGCCAGGGGCGGGAGTTGTGCTTGTGCAGGAGCTGGGCAGCCCGCACGTCCAGCCCGGCCCCAGCCCCTTGGCTCGGAGGCGCCCGTCCTGAGGTAAGGGTCAGTGTGTGGCCGAGCGGGGGGTGCAGTGGGCCCGACGTGGGCAGCCGCCTCACTCCAGCATGGCGTCCAGCTGGTCGGCCAGATCGTCGAACATGCTGCCGATGTCATCCAGGATGCTGCCAGCGCTCTTGGCAGCCGTGGAAGGGCTGGGGCGGGGGAGGGCGTGTCAGGGTGGGAGGAGGGGGCGCAGATCCCACCCCAGGCCCTGCACGGGGAAGACCTCCCCCAACCTGCGCTCACCCCCAGGCCATGCCCTGTCAGCCCGGTCCCGCCCTCACCTATCCCAGGCCACGCCTGCACCCACCAACCCCGCCCCGCCTGCCCAGGCCACGCCCCTGCCCAGGCCACGCCTGCATCCACCAGCCCCGCCCTGCTTGCCCAGGCCACGCCTGTATCCGCCAAGCCCCGCCCCATCCTCCAAGGCCACGCCTGCATCCACCAACCCCTCCCCGCCTGCCCAGGCCACGCCCCTACACAGGCCACGCCTGTATCTGCCAAGCCCCGCCCCATGCTCCAGGCCTCGCCTGCATCCACCAACCCCGCCCTGCCTGCCCAGGCCACGCCCCTACCCAGGCCACGCCTGTATCTGCCAAGCCCCGCCCCATGCTCCAGGCCCCGCCCCGCCTGACCCGCACCTACCCCAGGCCCTGCCCGTCCTCCAGCCGGATCTTTTCCTCCACCGCCTGCAGCGCGGCGGCCAGGCTGGCGCTGGTCTCCTCCAGCCTCTGCCTGGCGCTGTCCCCGGGCGAGGCTCCGTCGGACGCGGGGTGCGGCGCGGAGGGGACGGCGGCGGCCGCGCGCGGGGGCTTGGCGGGCACGTGCGGCGGGGGCGCGCCGGGGGACGGGGGCGCGCCGGGGCTGGCGCCGGGGGCGGGCGGCGCGGCGGGCGGCTTGGCCAGGGCCGCGGGCGGCTGGCGCGCGGGCGAGGGCGCGGGCGACGGGCCGGCGCTGCCCGACTGCAGTCCCGCCGCGGCCTTGGGCGGCTTGGGCGCCGTGGGCGGCGGCGGCGGCTTGGGCGACACGGGCGGCGGCGTGCCGTGCGCACGCTTCACCTCTGCGGGGAGACCGTGACGGCACGGGGGTGGCCCGGCCCCGCCGCCCCGCTCCCTGCCCCTCCCCGGGCGCGGCCGGCGGCAACATGCCAGCCCGCACCCGCCCGTGCCTCTGCGCGGCCACACGGCCCCGCACCTGCCCCGATGCCCCGTGCCCTCGCCTGCACCCGCACACGACCCGTGCCCGCGTCCTGTCCCCTCACCCGCACACGACCCGTGCCCCGCGCCCTCGCCTGCACCCGCACACGACCCGCGCCCCACGCCCCGTCCCCTCACCCGCACACGACCCGTGCCCGCGTCCTGTCCCCTAGCCTGCACCCAGGCCATTCCCAGAGACGCCCGGGACCTTGCCACACTAGCGCCAACATACACTGGCTTTCTGTGCGTCGCTGGCGGAATGAGGGAAGGGCCTTGTGCTCTGCTTCCTCTCCACCCCCGTGCGTTGACAGCCCCCCCCCCACCGGCTCCATCACATCCCACAAAGGCTGGGCAGTGAGTAGGGGTGGCCGCCCCCCCCATACAACATACCTGGGCTGCCGGGGCCTGGCAGCGGCACCTTCTTGGAGGCTGGGGTGGGTGAGCCCTGGGTCTTGGGCACAGGCTGAGCCAGGACAGGCTTGGGAGACACGGGTGGCTTGGCCGGCTTCCGGGCATTGCCGTCGGGCAGGGGCAGAGGGGGCAGGTGCGCCAGGTCGGCGGGTGGCGGCTCAGCGGGCGGGGGTGGCGGGGGCAGCTCCGGGGTCCCGGCCTGCTCTGAGGCCGGTCTGCGGCGCACGGTGGCCGTACCGTTTTGGTACACGGACAGCGGCGGGGGTGGCTCGGGCCCGGCCTCCCGCTCCTTGGCCTTGGGCCTGCGCTTCACCGTGTCGGACTCGGTTAGGATGAACTTGACATTCTCCTGCTGGCTCTGTTTGGCTCGGATGCGCCTCTTGAGCGTGGCACTGGCCTCCACCCTGGCCAGGGGGGGGCCTTCCGCGCCGGCCTCTGCCTTGGCTGGACCTCGAGGCCGCTGCCTGCTGGCCCCATCCTCCACAAAGTGGCCCTGCTCCGTGGGTTCTCCCGGGCCCCTGCGGGCTGCGGCCAGAAGCCCCGTGACAGGCCCGCTGAGAGTGCGGCGCCGGTTCACCACCTCGCCATCCGGCCCGATGGCCTCTTTGTGCTTCACCGAGGCCAGCACTGTGGCCACCCGGCCAGGCTCCGGACTGGCAGGACGAGGGGTGGGGTGGCCCTCGGGGGGTCGGCGAGCGCCCCGCCCCCCGCCCCCAATGGAAGACAGTTCGAGCATGGCCGCGATGCTCTTCACGCTGCCAGCGCTGCCCGTGTCCACGCTGCCCGCGAGGTCGCTAGCCCGTCGGCGCTGGGCCCGGACGCCCAGCCGGTTGTCGGGGGCAGCCTCGGCCTCGGCCTCGGCCTCGGGAGCTGGCTCGTCAGCCATGTTGGCGCTGGCCACGGCGGAGCTGGAGCGCTTGGGCGGGGGTGGGGGCGGTCCCTTCTTGCGAGGCCGCACGGCGAAAGACTGGCTGCGGTTGACGTTCTTGTCGTGGGCAGCGGGGACCCTCACGGAGTGGCTCCGGCCCACGCGCCGCTGGACCGTGGCGTAGGGCCCCGAGGCGGCGGGCGCCAGCAGCTCATCTCGCTCCGGCTCGCTGTCGGACGCCGCGTAGCGATTCAGGCTGTGAGCTCGCTTCTTGGGGCGCCCAGGCTCCACGTCGGCCTCGGGGGGCAGGCAGAGAGTGGGCACGGTGGTGGGCACGGGCGGCGGGGTGGGCCCCGGTGCCACTGGCCCCACCTCGCTCTCCACAGGCTGGGGCAGCACGTAGGCAAAGCCACGGTGCGTCGGCGACTGCGGCAGGGAGCGAGGCGATGCGGGCCGCTCGGCCGGCGGCAGCAGCTGTGGGGTAGGCTTCACCTTGGCGGTGGCCGGGCCATGAGGTCCCCCGAGGGCTTGAGGGGAGCCCGGCCGGGCTTTGGTGGGCGTCTGCGGGGGGGTGAAGGGGCCGGCCCCCGGTGGGAGGGCCTGCCGCGGTTTGCCGGGCACCGGGGGCACACTGGCCCTCTTGATGCTGTGGCCGTGGCGGCCTGGCCGGACCTCCTTGGGCGGCGTGCCGGGGGCCGGCCCCTCGTCCAGCAGGTACTCCTGGCTTCGTGACATGGGGCTGCTGGGCCCAGGGGGGCCGTCGCCCAGCAGCTCCTGCGAGCTGCTCATGTGCCGAGCCCGCCCCCCCAGGCTGGGCTCCGGCCGCCCGGCCGCCCTGGGGGTGGGGGGCAGGCGGCCAGAGGGCTGTTCTGCGGGTGCCGCGGCCTCGGCCGGGCCGGTCATGGCGGCCTGCAGCTCCCCGCTGAGCTCGCTGTCCTGGA